TCGCTTAACGAGTAAGATTCTGGAACGAATTATGCTCGTTATGAGAGGCTCCACTGTAATTAAAATTTAATCTAAAATATACTTACTATTCAACTATTAAATTTATAAAATGAAATATTCTGTCCTAATACATCGATCACAGCAGAAAATTTGACATCATTGTCAATTTCAAGTTTTATATGTATAAAAAAGATATATAACGTGTCACGTCACATAAGATCTCCCCCCACTCCCCTCCCCTGGTCACAAACTGTTACACTTTCTTACACTCTGTCGATTTTGAGCGTGACAAACTTTATGGACGCCCCCACACCCGTTTCACAATTTCAAGTTATAATTCTGGTTGTGGGTCGCCGCAACTTGGCAAATATTATAAGGGGCTCGTGGCACTAAAAAATATTGAGAACCGCTGGAATAGGATTATATTATAAAGCTAATCGTGTTTCGAAGCCTGCAGGATGGCTACAGTTCTATGCATGCACTTTTCCAGAGTCTGCCCTACGGTTGCTGGCCCTACGGTTGCTGGCCCTACGGTTGCTGGCTCTACGGTGGCTGGCCCTACGGTTGCTGGCCCTACGGTTGCTGGCCCTACGGTTGCTGGCCCTACGGTTGCTGGCCCTACGGTTGCTGGCCCTACGGTGGATAGCCCTACGGTTGCTGGATACGGTTGCTCGCTCTACGGTGGCTGGCCCTACGGTTGCTGGCCCTACGGTTGCTGGCCCTACGGTTGCTGGCCCTACGGTGGCTGGCCCTACGGTTGCTGGCCCTACGGTGGCTCGCCCTACGGTTGCTGGCGCTACGGTTGCTGACCCTACGGTTGCTGGCCCTATGGTTGCTGGCGCCCCGAGTAAGCTTACTTTGGCGCCCCTTTTAATGGTATCATAAAAAATGTGCAAGGAAAAAAAAAACTAGAGGTTAGGTAATGAGTTTATTTTATTTTTTATTTAAACAGTTAACAATGATATCGTTTTGTGTTAACCTGTATTTGGATCGTACGAACAATGACCCTACCGCCTCCCACCTGATGACGTTTTGATCCATTCTTTAGTTTTGGATCAGCAAATCGTTTTATTGCACGTTCTATTGTTCTTCCATGGCGCCCAAATTTTAACTATTTTGGAAGATCATTGATGGCGCCTTAAGCACATGGCGCCCCGGGCAACTGCCCGCTGCCCGAGTGCAGCCCGCGTTGCTGGTAACTTTAGCCGGCCCTGCACTTTTCACTTCTCCCCATTGCATGCAATACATTATAGAAAATGAGAAATAACTCATTTTTTTTTAACCCTCGGGTATTGTATACACTGCACGATGGACACGGCTCATCCCTACTGTGATGCTACCAACACGGTTGAAACACTCCAATTCTTCTTATCCTCATTATAGCAATGTTACGATTTGGATGCTCGTTTCCTTGTTAGGGGCCGTCCATTAATTACGTCAACAAATTTTACGCAATTTTTTACCCCCTCCTCCCCCCTGTCAACAACTGTCAAACTTTCAGTGACCCCCCTATTTAATTATGTCAAAATTTTCTAACCCCACCCCTCCCCCCCCCCCTAAAAAAGTAAAAATTATTGAATTATCGAAAAAATAAATTTATAATACATTTTACTTTGTGCTGTTCTATTTTATTGACAAAAATTGTAGGAAAAACATTTTATTAAATTTTAGCTTGTTAATCAACAAGTTAAAAAGTTTTTAACACTTAAATTTTATAATGCAGAATCAATTAAAATGTTGTTAAAGACTAGCAATAATTGTTTGTGGTATAAATATGATTATTGTCAATAAAGCTGACAATTATAGCATAGTTTCTAGCTGCTATCATCGTTAGTAGCCAGGTGTTGCTCTATCGTAACAATGGCAGCAGGGACATTATTTGGGTAGGGCAGGGGGCATTTGCCACCACCCCCCTGAATTTGTAGGTTTTATTTAATTTGCTATGTAGGCTACTGTGGCGCCTCCAGTAATAAACATCTTAACAAGCCGACCAAGTTTTGGTTTTGCCGCCGTCCCCCCCCCCTGAAAAAAATGAAATGACGCCCCTGATGGACATATTCTATAGTAGCTCATTTATCATTTTCATCTGACGGAACTGATATACCAGACAAGGTAACACCATACTCATCTAATCATCCAGCACTTAAAATAGAAGCATTATCGATGTGAGCAATAATTGCCATAAGCTCTCTCTATCTCCTTGCAGCTACTTGCATTGGTCGCATCCTTCGTTGTTGAGGAGCAAGTGCTAATTTCTTATGAGCAATTAGTGCATTGTCGGTTGAACATTTTTTGTCAACATGACTTGTGATTCAAAATAGATGTTACAGATTTTCAAATCCGTTCAAGTAGCGATGTTACTATTGTTACTCACTTTACTTTCCCTTATTTCTCAAAATATCGTATTCCTACTCTATCAATATAATTTATCTGGACTGCACGTGGCACTTGACTTGTTCTTGTTCCATACCTACAGCGTGATCGCTCTTAGTCATTTGCGACAAACAGGATCTACAGGTGAAGACAGGCCAGCTCTTGACTTCTCTTGCACTAACAAAGTGTGCCAACATTCTGACCAGCCATCTGCAGCTCACAGACGGACAAACATTAACAAATCGTATGTTGTTAAAAGTCTACAAATTATATTTTATTATTTACACTCATTTAAAATTATATATATTTTTTTTTAAATAATGTAATAACCATCAATTTTTAAGATACAAATTTTAATAGAGAAAAAATTAGTGCTGACGTCAACTAAACATCCCTCCCTCCCCCTTGTCACCAACTGTCAAACATTTACAAACTCGGCCCCCATCCCCCTTTCCTATTTTGTTTACGTAATTAATGGCGCCCCGTTATTGAAAAAAATACTTTTTCATTCTTGGGTCTTCGGGATTGTTAACTAAAACATTAAAACAAATATTAGGAATAAGATCCCCGCTCCCCTCCAAAGCACAAGGCAATAATTTAAGACAAAGCAATAAGGCAAATCACAAAGAGCAAAATAGATAGTAAAACTACAGGGGCCGTCACACTCATTTTTTACAAAATTTATAACCGTCCCTCACCTCTGTCAGAAATCCCAGGACCCTCTATCCGTCCCCCCAAAGTACGTCACACTTTCGCACTAAAAAAAAATTTAAAAAAAAAAAAAATTAAAATAATTGTTTTTTTCTAAAACACACTAATACTATTAGTATTAGACTATTGAATTTATAAATGTGACTTCTTCTGTCAGAATACGTCAGATACATAGATTCTATGGCTATGGTAACAGAAAGTTCAACATTACTTTTATTTTCATGTTTTATAGATATGTTGAAAAATATGAAATGTTTGACGTTACACAAGAGTTCTACCCCCACCCCCTTTTTTCCCCGTGTCACACAAGCTGTCACATAATAATATTCTTGGACCCCCCCCCCTCTCTCGCCCCTATGCAAGTACTAATTACCTTAATTTTATTCCTGGTTCCAGCATCTATTTCTGACGAAACCTATGCTCCTGAATAACCAAAATAATAATGAATGTGTTCAGAGACTGCTGTATTGTTTAAAGTGTTAATTTTGTAACAAAATATTTTCTACAATAGTTTGATTTTGCACATGACTATAACTTTTGTCCATTTAATTGTTTCGGTTTTTTTCGATAATTTGTGAAGTAAAAACTTTACGGTCACTACTTTAGTGTTTAGCCCAGTGTTTGGGAAATTTCCCAAGATCTTGGGAATTCACGACCCCCCTTGGGATCTGGGGAATAATTTTGAAAATCAGGCAAAACCTTGGGAAATCTTAACTGGGGGGGGAAATTTTATTATATTTTTCGAAAAACGCAACAATATCTGATGAAAAATAAAGTGAAAATAAAGCAAAATAATTTTTAAGTAACAAGGCAAAAAATTAATTGTTTTAATTTTTCTTTTCTGGTTTTAATTTTTAAATCCACTCATAAAATAAATAAAAACTCTTCTGATATTTAAGTTAATATTGTGAATTATTAAAAAGTTAATAATTTTTTAAAAATTCAATTTTCTCCTTTTTTTAAAAAAAATTGAAGATTTACAAATTACATCCAGGTTTTGAATGTTTATTAAATTGGGGGCGTGGGGGGGGGTAGGCTCGGAAACTTTATCATTATGCTCTTAGACATTAGCAACCATACGAAAAACGGCACAAGCAAAGAGTGAACGATAGTGTTCAATAAAGAATCCATGCCATAGTAAAATTTGATTATTTCAATACTTCTACAATGTGTTCAAAATATAATGCATCTGTAAAAAATCCAGCCTAATTTTCATCAATTAGAAAAAATATTTGTGGATTGAAACACACGTACCGGTAACTAAGATATTACAAGTATAGGCCTGCGTTGTAGGATTATAAATGAACAATTCCTTTAAAATTATTATTTTTTTTTTTTAAATCGTTATAATGTAAATTTACAAGAAAAAATAAAAATACTTATTGTTTTCATCATAATATCAATCCATTTTAACTACAATTATTATTAATAAATTTTGCTTGATTGGTTTTCAAACCCCACTTCTAATCAACAGATTTACAATAATAAAAATCATTTTTTGATGAAGAACCTTTTGCCTTTGTAAAAGGAATTCTGTGTTGATTAGCATTGTAAGCTTTATTTCCAAGGGACTTCTATTACATATGTATTGTAGATGATATTTTTACCAGAGAATTCGGAGGTAATATTTAGTAGCCTAACTCCAGTGGGTATTGATATTTTGGATTTTAAATAATTTTTACACATTTTTTTTTTTTATGTGATAAACATTTTTTAAATGTCTTTTTTAATAAATTTCAGTCAATTAATGTATCATGTTTTTAGGGGCATTGATTCAATCTATTATTACATTAATTACATAGAAAACCCCCCTTTTAAAAAAAAACTCTTATATATTTTATGATCTTGGGAAATTTGTTCACCAAATCTTGGGAAATTTTAAAAAAGTGAGTGGCAGCCCTGGTTTAGCCCTTCAACTTCTAGGCGCCATAACAAATTTCGCGGGACTTAAGAAGTAACGATAAAACTTTGAGTTTAAGATCACAGCCATTACGAAGTGTCGTCTAGATATAAAATTAAGATGTTTGTTCAAAAAAGAGGTAGTTCAAATGATTAAACAATTGTTTTGTATACAATGTACTTCTTTTTTATTTGATCGTTAAATTTAGTCACAATTTGTAATAAATTAGACAAAGGAAAAGGCCAGACCTGTTTTGTTCTGCAGAGTACATTTCATTTTTGGGACAAAATATTATTTGTTGTGAAGTTTAGGCTACACCAAAATAAGCCTAAAGTGTCCCCGTCCCTAACTTTACTTAACCAACTTATTATAAACTCTGTATTATTTTCTAATAATGTCTTTTCAGTAGGGTACAGTACCTAAGCACTGAGCTGAGCTAACTTCTTGCCCCATCTTATGGGGCATGTCTATAAATTATATAATAAAAGCCAAACTTAACTCTAAGAGATAAAAAAAAATGGGGACGCCTGCCACTTTTTTATCGAATTTCACGAATATATCCCTAAATCGATCCCTATGCCTAACCTGAACCCTAAATCGATCCCTATGCCTAACCTGAACCCTAAATCGATCCCTATGCCTAACCTGAACCCTAAATCGATCCCTATGCCTAACCTGAACCCTAAATCGATCCCTATGCCTAACCTGAACCCTAAATCGATCCCTATGCCTAACCTGAACCCTAAATCGATCCCTATGCCTAACCTGAACCCTAAATCGATCCCTATGCCTAACCTGAACCCTAAATCAATCCCTCAACCTAACCTAAACCCTAATTCAATGCAACTATATAAACACGCAAATGATGTCATGGGGAGAACATTAAGAATCAGCCGATTTGTTAAATTTGGGTTGCTACTTATTTATTTAAAAGAAGGAAAACTCTAAAGTCCAACCGAGAGATGGGGTCCCGTAGGTGGTATGACATAATGAAAATTCTGGCAACGCCTGGCCCTGCGATAACTACTGGCGCCAAGCTGTAATATTAGTAATATCCACACAAGATGTTCCCTTGAGTTATTCATGCTTGGACAGAGTTGATTTGCTGTATAGAAACCAGCTTATCGTCCTAAAAGAAAAATCCCAGGCCTTGTGATTTCATCTTAAGAAGTTTACACCATCATCACATTGTGACAGACAGATGCCAGAAGAAAGAAAAATGCAGTAGACCTATAAATGAGAATGATTAGTGTCTTTTGTAACTTCCATAGCTCAGACCTGTTTACTCTTACGATTTTGGCGTACAATGTACGATTTTTAGGTGTATAGGTTGTATATACTGTTTATTTTTTTACTATAAATATAACGTATTGAACGATTTTGTGATGATATTATACGCTTTTAAGAGTTTGAGGGTAAACAGCTCTGATAGCTTTTAATGTTCAGTGACTATTTGCTTTTTATTGACACTGCCCTAGTGGGTTAGGGACCATCCATAAAAGGCATGCATCTGGCGGGGGGGGGGCATGAATATCTCCCAAGTTTCCAATTTGTGAAGCCTGGTGGGGTGTGGAAAAAAAAAAATTTGCCTAAATACGTCATAATGTATGGATGGTCCCTTACTTCAATGCTATTTCCCATCCCCACGAAACTTTAAAAGAATAAAACAGCTAATTTGCATTGTACATTTTTTACATTATTTCCATAACTTTCTTTATTTCCAGGCGGTCGTCGTGAAGATGTCCATTTTGATAAGATAACATCAAGGATTCAGAAGCTTTGTTATGGATTACACAAAGATTTTGTTGATCCAGTGAGCTCATATTTATTTGTATTAAGTTAATCTTACATTTTATTATTTGCTTCATAATTTATTTTCCTATTAGAAAATATCAAACTTTGCTCAATTATCAGAGCTTAACTTATCAGCTTTTCTTTGCTTTCTCCAGGCAGCTATTACTTTGAAAGTCATCAATGGATTGTATCCTGGTGTTACCACCGTTGAGCTGGACAATTTGGCTGCTGAAACAGCAGCTACTATGACAACAAAACATCCGGATTATGCTATTCTTGCAGCTCGCATTGCTGTTTCCAACTTGCATAAAGAAAGCAAAAAGATTTTTAGTGGTAAATGGTTTAAATATTTTTGCATTGAAGATCAAAATAATACATTTTAGTGTTTAAAGGCTAGAGATTGTTGTTTTAAAATTTGATGTCAGCTATTGTTCAGACATTTCTATTTTTTAACAAGTATTTCCAATTTATTTTTCTTATGTTTTGTTAGTTCTGAGAAAGCTTTTATGATTAAAAATTTATTATTTTTTTAATTTATAAAACACTAAAGATTTACATTAAATTGCTACCTTAAGGCTGTTATTGAATCCCATCTGTAGTATATTGTAATGCTTTTATGTCACATTCTGATTGCCTTTAACAGATGCCATGTCAGATTTGTACAACTGGGTGAACCCAAAGACAGGAAAACATTCACCAATGATAGCTGAAGAGATATACAATATCATTTTGGCAAATGCAGATGTAAGTATCTCTTTTTTGTATGATCTTTAAATTATAAACAATCATACTTTCTGGTGGATTAATAAGACACATACTATACTGTCTGATAGTATGGTACTGATTAATGGATTGTTAAAACAAAAATTGGATTTTAAATTTTTTGTTTTGAAAAATGGTATCTTTTGTTTCTTTTATAAAACGATTATGAAATTTAATTATTTTATCATTTTGAAGTGAAAGTTTTTTTTTTTTTTTTTTTTTTTTAAAAAATTCTTTTATATTTTTTTTTTTTTTTTAATTTTTTGTTTTTAAAAATTTTTTCTTTTTTTTTTTTTATAAAACTATTATTAAATTTAATTATTTTATTATTTTTAAGTGAAAGTTTTTTTTTTTTTTTTTATTATCAAAAAATTCTTTGATATATTTTTTTTTGTCTCCTAAAGTTGATGAAGTGCAATTATCGTTAAGTAAAATCAGGCTTGCAGACACATAGACCCAAGTAAATTTACCACGCAAATTTTTTTAGGAATGACCAAGTATTTTTCGAACAGATAAAAATTCATCCAGCACAGCGTATAAATTCAGTCTGTGAAGCAATTGTTTTAGTTACTGCAGAAAGCCATTTAACAAAATCTGTTAATTTAAGATTTATTAATCTGATCATTAGTTTTGCCAAATCAAAATATTATTATCCCCAAAACTGATTGAATGACATTTTGTATTTGAAAAAAAAAAAATTTTATGCTTGATTATAAATATCAATTTGCATTAAGTTTTAATGCAAATTTTAATAATCTATACTTGTAGAAATTGAATTCAGCCATCATCTATGATCGTGATTATTCTTATAATTACTTTGGATTCAAGGTGAGCTTAAGACAAGACAGTTGTATAGGTTAATCATAAATTGAAATGTCCAGGAAATTATAATTAGTTTGCTATTGCAAGTAAACTTAAGGGGTAAAAAAATCAAATACTAGTCTTAAAGTTCCTATATAACTTAATTTAAAAAATTTAACCTAAATCGCTGCTGAAATAAGAAATTATTTTTTTATGTTTTATGCATGCCTTCATGTTACCCTTTTACACTTTCATTCATATATGTAATTTTCTTTCAGACATTGGAGCGATCTTATCTGTTGAAAATAAATGGAAAAGGTTAGCATTGTTTTTTTTTCATGTTAATTTTATTTATGGTTTGAAATTGATTACTCAAGGTTAGAATGATATTTAACTTTTAAAACAATTTTCCAGTGGCTGAGCGTCCACAACAGATGTTAATGAGAGTAGCAGTAGGAATTCACAAAGAGGATATTGATGCAGCTATTGAGGTCTGTAGTATAAGGATGCTTCAATTTTCTTATAAATTTTTATTGTTTATTTGAGGAAGATAATGTTCACCTGAGTAAACCAAGCAGACGTCTATAATAAAAATTCCTGAGTGGATCTTACTTTTCCCCCCTGCTCTCATCCCAATCACTGCTTCCACTGATTCATTACCCGTTGTTATTTTTTGTAAAAACCACTCTTACATAGTCAATACAAAGAAGCATTGGTGGATATATGGAGTATGAATCTGGAATTATTATTATAGATTATGCACCTCTTCCTGTATTTTACATGCGCAATGTGGTTGCTTTGCCCCCGCTATTACAAGTTTGTTTTTTTTTTTTTTTTTTTTTTATTTTTCTTTTTTTTTAAGTCGACTCTATCACAGTAGATAACTTAATTCCACTCAATTTTGTTTCAATAATATTTTTGGATCATGCTTATTTTGCGAGATAGTCCGGTTCAAATATTTTTTTCTGTCTATAAAATGTGGTCATTTTCATATTTTGTCTTGTTTAATTAATGGAATTTCTGCAGTATACTTGGCAAAACAAAACAAAAAAAAGTCAGTTTGATAAGTTTTTACAAAAATGTGACTTAAGTACTTTTAGCACTAGGGTCTTCAATTATCTTATTATTTTTATGTAAAAAATATCATTCAATATAAATTTTGCCTTTTGTCCCTCAGACCTACAATCTTCTGTCAGAAAGATGGTTCACTCATGCATCACCCACTTTGTTTAATGCAGGGACCAATAAACCACAACTTTCCAGGTATAATTATTTTTCTTTTCTTTTTTTAACAAAACATTACTACCCTAAATTTTTAGGATTGGTCATAAAAAGAAATGGATTTACTGTATAAGAGGAAGTACTTCTCAATTGGTTGTTTTCCTCATATATTTCTTTCCACTAATTTTATGAAAACTTCATTAAATATCCATTTTCTTTCTTTTCTTTACAAATATTATTTATTCATTATTATTTATTTTTTAAAAATTAAATTAAAAAGAAATGTATCTAATATTGGGTGCTAAGTTGTTAAAATTTAATGTATTCAGCTGTATTATTATTGTGATTAGTTATAAATAACTTGTTCCCATTAATTTGGTCAAATCAGTTAACGCTGAATGTTCTCTGCTTAAGAAATATTAAACGTTTTGTCACTCGCTTCTTTTATATATATTTTCAAAATTACAGCTGTTTTCTGTTGACAATGGATTCTGACAGCATTGAAGGTATATATGACACATTGAAAACATGTGCCCTGATCTCCAAGAGTGCTGGGGGCATTGGGCTCAATGTTCACTGCATCAGAGCCACTGGAAGCTACATAGCAGGAGTGTGTATTTTTTTTATTATTATTATCAGCCTAATATAATTTTTGTTAAACGTTAATATTAACATAGTAAATTATTGTCACTTTCACTACAACTAACGTTTCAATATCCATTCTTTGTACCTGAATATCAGACTGTGAAATAAGAAGGGGCAAAGACAATATGCAATTATTATTATTTTTCGTATGGATTTGCTACCTGAATTTTTATTTTTAAGAACTTAAAAATTGCAATGTATTTTTGTTAAACCTCGTATTCAATAACAGACAAATGGCACTTCTAATGGTCTCATTCCTATGTTACGAGTGTACAACAACACAGCAAGATATGTAGATCAGGGTGGAAACAAGGTACCTTATTCATTTTGCATTAGGCACCATTTTACTTATTTCAGTTCTTGAGGTCTTTGTTTAATATTTTAAAAAATATCTTTTTGAAGATGATAATAAGAATAACATCATATAAATATTCATAATAGTTAGAAGTTCAAAATCCTTTTTAATTATATGAATGCTTAATGTACCATATATAATATACCAGACCTGTTTACTCTTACGATTTCAGTATGCAATGTACGATTTTGAAGTGAATACATTATAAATACTGTATGTTTATTTTTTTACTATTAAGATAATGTATTGAATGATTTTATGATGATATTGTACGATTTTAAGAGTATGAGGGTAAACAGGTCTGATATACTGGAGCCATTCACAGATATCCAAGAATTACCAGTTTCTTTTATCAAAAATTATAATGAAGTTTTTGGAAGCTGTGAAATATTAATTTCACAAAAATGAGATTTTTTTTTTTTTTCTCTTATCCTTTTCTTTACAGAGGCCAGGTGCTTTTGCAATCTATCTAGAGCCATGGCATGCAGATATCTTTGACTTTCTGGACCTGAAGAAAAATACAGGGAAAGAAGAGCAAAGGGCAAGAGATCTTTTCTATGCCCTCTGGATTCCTGATCTCTTTATGCGCCGTGTAGAGCAGAATGGTGACTGGACTCTGATGTGTCCCAATGAATGTCCAGGACTTGCAGATGTTTGGGGTGAAGAGTTTGATAAGCTTTATGAGAAGTAAGTTAAAAGGAGTTCAGGGTATTTCAAATCGAGCAAATTTTTTTTGTAATATTACTTCCTGTTGATCAAAGCATGGCACCAACATTAATAGATTAGCCACAAAGAAAATAATTTTCAGCCTCATAAAAATGAAGCATTAAGTGCAATTTTAACAAATCAATCCTATTTTACATAAGGGCAGGGTCCAAATTTTATTTCATTTTGTAATGAAAAATGGTAGATTAAGATTTTTATTTGTATGATAATCGCGTGCTACTAATTGAGTATTCATGCTATATTAATTTATATTTTTTTCATAAAATGTATTCTAAACCCAACTTTTATTAGAAATTGTACTTGAGAATTTTCAAGTTGTTTGCACAGAAGAGGGGAAGACAGTATTAATATTCTGGGAATTTGACCCACATCTGATGTTAGAAATACCATAACCATAGTTAATCTCCCTTTACTTACATTATAACTTTCTTATTCTGCTACATAGGTATGAAAGTCAAGGAAAAGGAAGGAAAGTAATTAAGGCCCAAAAGTTGTGGTATACAATTATTGAGTCTCAAACAGAGACTGGAACCCCTTACATGCTTTACAAAGACAGTTGCAACCGCAAATCCAACCAGCAAAATCTTGGTACCATTAAGTGCAGTAATCTGTGCACAGAAATTGTTGAGTACAGTGCTCCTGATGAGGTACACTTGTTATTTTATTTTTTTTGCGATTGGCCACTTAAAGACTTGTTTTGCTTATATCTGGTATCATGTTTGCTTAATAATCAGTTATAATTAGCTTTTTACATTAATTATACTTTCCTTCCCAAGTAAAGTTTAACTATAACTTACCTTATATATTTTTACTATTATTTTCTATGTTTCAAAATATTTATTTCATTTTTAGGTTGCTGTTTGCAACTTGGCCTCACTTGCTCTCAACATGTATGTGAAACCAGATAAGACATTTGACTTTGAACGGCTGCAGTATGTAACAAAAGTAGCAGTTCGAAATCTAAACAAAATCATTGATATAAACTACTACCCAGTTCCAGAGGTAAATAAATCTTAATGATTTTTTTTTTTTATTAGCACTCGCTCTTTCCTAACCTGCTTAAGGGCCAACTGCTAAAAACTATAAAATCATATTATTTATTAAAATTTCTCACCACAAACCCCTGTACAAAAAGTATGTAAAATATAGCAATTAAGGCCTCAACCTCTTTGAAATGCATTTAGCTTATTAATGCTATTTTTCAGGCTGAACGTTCCAATCGTCGCCATCGCCCTATTGGGCTGGGAGTTCAGGGCCTTGCAGATGCATTTATATTGATGCGATACCCATTCGACAGTCCTGAAGCCAAACAATTGAATAAAGAGATTTTTGAAACCATGTACTTTGCCGCACTTGATGCCAGCTGTGAATTGGCTGAGAGAGATGGGCCCTATGAAACTTATGAAGGCTGTCCTGTTTCTAAAGGAATTCTTCAGCATGATATGTGGGGTGTTAAACCTGTAAGTGGTGAACTAGCTAAATACAATACATTTCTGCACTATTCACTACTAAGGTAAAGTCATATTTGTTTTTTGTTTTTTTATTTATATAATCTTGTATTTTAACAGACAACAAATTTAGATTGGGATGGTCTTAGACAACGCATTGCAAAGTTTGGCATTAGAAACAGTCTCCTCATGGCTCCTATGCCGACAGCATCCACTGCTCAAATTCTTGGCAACAACGAATCAATTGAAGCATACACAAGCAATATTTACACTAGAAGAGTGCTTTCTGGTGAATTTCAAATTGTAAACCATCATCTCCTTAAAGGTAAGCATCATAATGCTTGAGTTTGACGGCGCCTCACACATTTTACTCCAAAATATTATCCATTTTGTAAATTAATTTTTTAATAAGTTCTTCTATTTATTGGTCACATGATTCAGAATTCCTCAAAAAACATGATATTTTCTTGGCAATCTTAATCATTGAGTTTATTATTTTCAGATCTAACAGACAGAGGGTTATGGAATGAAGATATCAAGAATCAACTTATTGCAGCTGGAGGTTCTATCCAATCCATTTCCACATTTCCAGATGATCTCAAAGCACTTTATAAAACTGTTTGGGAAATAAAACAAAAGGTATTCACTTTTTTTTTGTATTTAACCCTTTTTTCTTAAGCCTACAGTCCGATGCGGCCAAACCCGCCCGTTTCGAGGTTGTTTACTTTCGTTCTTAGCACAGCGGAAATCCATTGCGCATTACTATTTATAGTTCTACCGGAAGAAAGCCTCATTGTCTACATTTGTTTTGATACTAGTTTGACCACCGTGTGTTTAGGGGCTGATTTTCTACAATTTTTTTTAAAGTTGCAATTTTTTTGCGCAGTAAATAATGGCTTTCCAAGCATTTGGATACAATTTTGAAAGAACTTAGGCCTAATGAAGATTCACTATTTCATAAATCTAGCAGTGATAGTGAAGAATCTGATAGACACATTAATTTAAATGATGCTACTAGTAATAGTGATTCAAGCGTAGAATATTATAGTAATATTAGAGACCTCGATGATAACGGACCTATCAATTCCACTCCAACTGATCAGCAAGATCATGAGTGGTCTGGGAATTTTTCTCAAATCAAGGTGGGAGGGTTCCCAAAACTATTTTTTGGTGCAACTTTTGCTTTAATCATTTCTTTGTATTTAGGTATTTTTTATTTTCTTGCTTATAGTTTATTTATAATAAATTAATTAGATAAAGAACCTTCATTTAAAATGGAGTTGTGTCCCTTTGCTTGGTCGCTAGGAGGGGACAAGGCTGAATAGGGTTGGACTGTAAAGGGTTAATGTGTCCATATTAAGGTTTTAATTTATTTATTTAGATCTTTTTTATTTAAGGTCTGATCACAATAGTCAATTATACGCATATTACACATTGATACTGAATTAATAAGAAATTAAAAATGTGGATTTATTGAAACGCATTGAAGTAAGTAATGTTATCTAATTTATTCTAATGTCTGAATGTTACTTTCTCAGGTTGTTTTGGAAATGGCAGCCGACAGAGGTGCATTTATTGATCAGAGCCAGTCCTTGAATATTCACATTGCAGAGCCAAATTACGGGAAGCTGTCCAGTATGCACTTCTATGCTTGGAAACTGGTGGGCATTTTTATTCTCTTGTTCACTATATTTAGTTAAGTTTCCAAATGAAAATCTGATACTAACCGAGACGTACCAATTTTACTTTTAGGGATGAAATACTCTCCCTGCCCTTTAACTCATTCCCGACGTTTGCGACTAAATGCGTCCCGGCGCATAGCGACACACCTCTCTCATATCTATTTAAAAATAGCAATGAAATCTCGCATCCCTCGAGACTTCCGGTGATGCCGTAGTTCAGCGTGATTTTAATTTAAAAACCGGAAGTTTTTATCTTGTTTCACTTTAAAACTACGTGTGCTTTAGTATGACGCGTCTTTGAGTAGCATGTGTACCTCCAAGGTGCCGAAAATCGATTTTTTTGGCCTTTGTTAGTTATTTTTTCCCCGCTAATGTTATATTTATATTAAACCTTATTCATTTTCTGTTGCATTTGTTCTTAATTCGTTAACATTAAGTAATATTTAGCAGCTTAAATAAATATTTTACAAATGTAAATCAATTGCAAGACGGAGTTACTTCCCTTTCTCAGGCAAATAAATTAAAAAGGGACGTAGCATTGCAGGAGGGAATGAGTTAAACATGCACTATTTTTAAATATTAAAAAAAAAAAAAAAAAGGCAAATCTTTATGATAGTAAACTTTTAATAAAAAGATATTCAGTGATATGATGGTACTGTTACTAGTAGTATAATATGAGATGCATCATTATTAAACATGTATTATTTTTAAAAATTAAAAAAAAAAAAAAAAAGGCAAATCTTTATGATAGTAAACTTTTAATAAAAAGATATTCAGTGATATGATGGTACTGTTACTAGTAGTATAATATGAGATGCATCATTCAGATCTAGCTGTACCGGTAGTTAGTCGTATAATATGAGGAACATCATTCAGGTCAGTTGCAATATCATCACTTTTTTAAGTTAGGATTTTTTTTTTAAGTGTCTTGTTTGGACTTTCGGTTTTTGCATGTTTTAGTGACGCATCTCTCCATTTTTTCAGGGCTTGAAGACAGGCATGTACTATCTGCGCACAAAGCCAGCAGCACAGGCTATTCAGTTTACAGTTGATAAAACTCGTTTATCATTAACAAACAAAGCCAACAGTATCCTTACTCCTAGCTCTGACAAACAGGAAAACATCCCTGAACACAATAAAGTAGAAATCTTGAATGGAGAAAATGAAGACAAAGAAAATAAAAGGAACCAAAACATGGCAGCACTTGCATGCTCCTTAAAGAATCGAGAGGATTGCCTAATGTGTGGCTCATAGATGGATTGCATTTCTCAATTGTTGTATTTTTTATGTGATCTTTGTTTTTACTTATCTTTATTTCGTTTATTATTAATGGTTATTTATAAATGTTGTGAACAACTAGCCTGGACTGATTTGCATATCTAGGTCCTGAAAAATGAATGAGATTTGTATGTCTCTGAGCAACTATTGGTATTAATTACTGTAAAAAATCGTATTATTTTATTGTTACTTTAATTGTTCCTTATATATAATAAAGTTCAACATTGTTCCTTATATATAATAAAGTTCAACTTAAGATTCTATTATTTTATACATTTCACCAAGGTATTTTTTAAATTATTTTCTGCCATCATTAGCATTTACCGTATTTCATCTGTTTGTGTACAAAATGCTAATATTTTTATTCTACATATAAGAGCATCATTCCAAACACTAACATATTTTGATAGTTTATTTTCCAGACAAAAAAACTAGCCAATGAATGATAGTTTTTACTGTGTTCCCACTCACATGATTATTAAACTACACAGGTTCAGACACACACCACAGATTTATATTCACTTTAAATTTTGCATAAATGATTTTCATGTGAATGTGTAATTTTATGAATTTACCATATTACTTTGTCAGTTTGTATCTCTTTATAATTTATATGTTATATCTATAGGCCTTCCTATGTGTTCAGCCACAGAGGCAATATTTTGAATCTTATATTGTCTTAGTGACCTTTATTAATTATTAAAAGAATGACTTCTTAACTATATAAAAAAGTGATCTTTCCATTTCTCTTCCAGGAATAAGTAAGCATAAAATAACATGAAAATACACAATTTTGCAACTTCCTTTATATATCTATCTCTCTTTCCCCCTCCCCCCCCCCCCCCCTTTTTTTTTTTTTTTTCATTTCTTTTAAATATTTCTTTTTATTACCATCTCTTGTACTGGTGACTTGTTTTCTGGTGATTCTTATAAGTAACTCTACTTTTTGTAAAAATAACATCTGCAAAACTGCACGTTTCCTAATTTTAAATTGAAATTATTGGGTCAAATTGTGGTAGGTTATTGGATATGCAGAATATAGTTACTGGTACTTCACTTGTTACTGCCAAGTATTTCAAGAAGAGAATTTCTAGTATTTTTCATGTACATTTTTTCTAGAAATATATGGTTACATGTTAATCTCTAAAGATGATATGTAGTTTCCAATATACAGTTAGTAATTTTAATGAACACTTATTCATAAATAATAACATCTCAATACCGAGTCATAAAAACTAATTCACCTTAATTAAAACAAATAATAATTAAACAAAACGATGTAATGGTTATTTATTCTTAATGACAGACTTTCTTCATGTCATGGCTAAAGTGATCTTTTATTGACCTCTACACCACAGCCAACTATTTCAAGATATTTAGCATATGTTATGCAACATTACCTGAGACCCCTCTTAACTTAGGCTTACAACAGTTTGCACTTTCTGGCAATAAAGACTCTTTAAATCATTGAAAGGGATAGGAAGGGTTTAATTTTAATGGCAAAAATAAAAGTGGAAATATGTTAAATATTAGAAAAGCACATGGTTCGTCTGTCCACATCAACCATGACCACTTTTTTTATTGCAAATGTGCTTATTCTGAACTTGGCATTGGATGCGCAGGTGGCTGATTAGACAGATTCTGGCATTGGGCTTGGACTTTGATAACTCTTTCTCAAAACCATTAGCAGTAGCAGAAATAGTTCTCAATCTGTGCATGACATTCAATCAACTCATTCACTACTAGGTCTTTTGCCACAAAACCTGAGATAGCACAAAGCGGTAAGTACATAGCACTGCGCTTCCTCCAGACACACTGCCCGGAACTTTTTTTTAAACTCATTTAAGTGTAAATCTACAAAAACTTGCATTGTCTTTCATTACACTTACACCACTGTCTGCTACTTTTTTTTCACCCCAAACAAGATTTGACTTCAAATGGAGGCTTCAGGCTTAACTAGGAAGATAATTTTGTATCAGGCTTATATTATATCATTTATTTATGTCAATATGTTTCAGCTAATCATAAAAAAGTAATAACCAGGGACACATTTTAAAAATCTTTTGTCCCTTTGAATTTTCATTTGTCCACAGGCCTTTTTCATATCGATTTATAATTATTATCGTAAAATTTTATCGTGAATTAAAATTTAATTGGCAGCTAAATATTTATGGATATCATGAAATATCAAATAGTTAGGAACCTAAAATTAATGAAAATGAATACACCTTAAGGTCTGCTACTAGTGAAACTTCACTCATACACCATCATTCAGAAGGTAGTACACATGTCAAAGTAAAAGCCAAAAAGAAAGGGAAGTGCTGAATTTTTGTGGTAGTGGTAGACAGTATAATACTGTACTGGTTGGCAAGCTCTTTTTTAACATAGGGCCAAATTTTTTATTTCTTTAGCTTTCAAATTGCAAACAAGTTATATATATTTCATTGCAGTTCTAATTTAAATTTAAACAATTTAAAACTTAAGCCACTTTTTTGGGAATGTTCTTTTTAAAATTAATTATAATGAATGGAATCCGGTTGCAATGGAGTTTATAACACTTAACAATGACAGCTGATTTGAAACATTCGGAAATATGTTTCATATGCCATTCTCTAATCTGTTTTTCGCCCTGTTTCACAAAAATAACAACTCATTCAGTTTTTCTGAAGGTTTTGCTCTAATGGCATCAATGAAAACTGTGTAGTTCCTTTATTACTTGTGTCTTGTCTTATTTTACTGACACTGGTTAGTTCCTCTGTCAATTTATTTGATAAGTCTAATTTAACCTTTTCCACCTGTAAAAACAAAATTATAATTAAATCATAAAAGTTAGAATTCATCTAGATCTATCTAATTTGAAACAAATTAATTAAATAAAAATAAATACATATGCAATTATCTATTCATTTCTTTTACAGCCTTATCTAAAGCTATGCTTTTCAAAAGTAGTGGTCTGCAGAGCAGCCCTCATTTCAGAAAAATGTTGAAGATTTCTAAATAACATAAAATAACAATCATAAATGGGCACTCCCCATACTGCAATGTGGATAAGTTTTAGCTGATTGTCACAATTGAAGGTTTTGGAAGCATTGATTTGCAGGGGTTTGCACAGCAGGTTATGAGCCATTTGAAAATGAAATTATCACAGTTTAAATTACATAATTTTTATATCACATTTAAGTTTAAGTAACTTGTCTGCACTACAAGACCCACAATGCAATGTCTTACACTTATTTAATAATTATCTAATTAATATAACATTGTTTAATATTAATTTAAAATGTTCTTATTTTTTAAATTATTTGTATGGCTCTTGAATATTAATTGTGAGGTACCGGGTACTTATTTGGCTCTTACTATTAGTTACTATTATTATTATGTTAAAGTTTGCAGGCAAATAAACAATTTATAGCAAACTTCAAAACTACAAATGGCAGTTTGAATATTTATTTTATTATTCTATTACAGTAAAGCTATTCATAAGAGACAATTTCATTACAGAGTTATTAAAAATTATTAGCCTCTAAATATTTTAACTAACTTTGTTACAAAATAGGATAAAAACTGGAAAATTATTACAAACCTCATTTTGTCTGTGCTGAATAATAACTTTGACAAGAGATCCTTTGGTTAGTAATGTTTTAATTTTTGCTATCTTGATGTTCAGATCATGATCCTTTATAGATGATTTTATTTTAAACACCTTTGTGGGATCTTCGTTTAAATGCTTTTTATGGGTTGGTGGTGTCTGCGCCGTTGGAAATTTAGGAGGAAATCGTGTTGGTGAAATGGTTAGTGGCTGCAACTTAAAGCATGATAGTCCATCCTTATTTTTGTTGAGATAGACAAGTCTTGAATTGTTTGTTTTAGCTAATGCCTTAGCATCTTTGAATGTTGTTTGACTTATAAGAATATCTGTTTGGTCAAAAATAAGACACACAGTGGATTCCTTAAACTGTATTGTGGTTTCTTTCTCCTCAATGGTTGACAGCATTTGATGTGAAACATAGCAAAAGTTGGATCTATATAAACTAAAAGTTTTACTGTTTTTCCAAAACCAATATCTACTCGTGATATCAGAAACTTTATTGTACTTCCATTGGCTTGATAAACGTATATGTTGAAAAGAGCTTAAGATAGCTTTTGATGCTTTACCTGTCACACGGATCATGTGACAAAAGTTTAACGAGTTCAATTTAATCAAAATGTGCCCTGTGAATATGCCTTTAACATTTGCTGCCATCTGCATATTAATAGAAATCTTTTATTACTTTGAAATAAAATCTGAAATCGAAAGAGAATCAATAAAGTGAAATAAGTATCTCAAGTTCATTTTGTGCAACTATTGAATTGAAAACTACAATCATTCAAATATAATTATTGTTAAATGTATGTAATGAAAAGGGGACCTACATTATTTTAGTCTAATTTCTAGTTTAAAATACTACCGCAGTATTCAGTGGTAATCAAATCATTGCAGTAAAAAAAAAAATTAGCACATATTAAGAAATAATTGGCACTCTGACTCAATTTATTAATTAAATTCATTTAGTGTCATCCACACATTACAATTACATAGCCACAGTGCGAAGGAGAGTCAGATTTAGAATTAGAAGATTTTACTTTCCAAATGCTTTAATACATAATTATTATTATAGTTATCGAATCTTAACATTTCTAACATAATTGCAATTACAAAAAATTCATTTTTACAAGCATTAGGCCTATTTGGTACTCAAACACTTTTAATTTTTAAAAATTGATTTAATTAAAAAGTTAATTGTTTTCTTAACAAAGAAAGCGAAATATTAAATCTTATATAAACAGGACTCAAAATTGACATATTTAAAAGAAGTGGAACCTCGTTCCATGTTGGCTTCCTTATGTTTCTTTCACACACTTATAGTTATAGCAGAGCCTCTACCTCTTTTTTTCAAATAATTTTCAGTAAAAGAAAAGACAACAACTTGTCAACCTGACATCACTAAAAGACAACATGGGACTACAATCTGTCAAATGCTGCTCTTTGATGACTACGATGCTAGCTTTTGTCTTCTAGTGTCAAATAATAAGTAATAATTCATGGGAAAAAATAAAGGGATGTACTGAGAGGACTGTGTCATAAGTTACCTGTATTTATTTATTCAGGTTGCTGTGTACTAAAAATGCGCTGCCGCCCTGGTCACATACATTTTTTTAAATGCCACCCTCCTAGTCCCTTCCTTTGCTAGTGGAGTGCAAGTGATGGGCTCTTTCTATAAATAATAATAAATGGAAAGAGATAATTGGCCTTACCATGACACTGACAGCATGTGGAGTGGTAGCAGTTTAAAAAAATTGATTGATGCAAATCAATTTCATGGCAATGGATTTTAATTTTTGGATTTGTATACATAATTGATGGATAACTTATTATCTTAACTCTTAAACTTATATTAACTTGATATTATTATAATAATTTAATATAACCCTGGTCCTTGCTGGGAGTATTGCAAAGTATAACTGCCCGGCGAGCGTGATTTGACTACGACTCATGATTCCCAGTCTGCCTGTGGCTTGTGTTATTGCCCCCTGCTTCTTAAAAACACATTCACATATGACATATGGTAAGACACATATTCCTCTATGCCAAAGTTCATTAAGGGTAATAATGGTCTTATTGGGTACCAAATCGAATGTCGAGATCATATTACCGGGTACCGCAATGCGCCGTACGTTCATAACTTGAGCTTGATGAAATATCGCATTTTCACATTTCTTGGGCTTGGGTCTAGTCCGACAATAACAATCCTAGTAGTGACTGAGAGTGTAGCAAAGTAAGGTATACCGTAAGTAGGCTACTAAGTAATTTAGAGTAGACTGAATATCAAGACAAAAGTGGGTAAAATCGTATTTTAGCGTACCTTTCGGAAACTCATTTAGTTGTAATAATTACCTGGTGCCTAGATGATTTGTTTACAAATTTCAAAGTCAAGGGTCAGGCGAGACTGTCGTTTGTGCCAGCTAGGACAAGGGAAGCTAACAGTATATTTAACGTTTTTTTAATGCCCGGTGAGAATGCCATGACTTTGTTATAGTATGGGTTGCACATTTAATTTAATGATGTAGATCAATGTGCAATCGCGTTAGTTAGTTTTTTTTTAAAATTTAAATAATTAGATATTGAAAATTAATTTTTGATTGTAAGTTGCAAATTATACTTTGAGAGTGTGTCTGTTGTGAGGATAACATAGAAGAGGTTATAACTATAGGAGCGACATAGGTTATAACTTTAAAATTATAACTATCGGAGCCCATTGTTTGTGATTTTGACCCCCGGCCCCACCTTTTCCAGTTTGGCAGTTATTTAGATAAGATTATTTTAAAAATGCATTTAGTCTTATTTATTAAAGACTAAACCTCTATTTTTCTATTCACATATCCATGCTTGTACTTGTAGCATAATTTTGTTTTATCACACGTGACCCTTCCATTCTGTCGATCAGTCGTCCTCGCGATGCGCTGTATTTGTAAGTTCGCATCTGAGTTGATGACAGGGTGAGAGCTGCAGCTCCTGTATTGCCTGTTTGCTGGTTCGATGGAGGGGGTGGTGGTGGATTCCTGAGTTGTGGGGAAATAGCCATCGGTCCTAACTGTAGGATTTTGGTATGGGATTGGGGAAGGTGTTGGGACAGGGCATTTCAGAAATTAGTCTCTGATCAAAGGATGACAAACAATTGTTAAATATTATTTTGTCTTATGCATAGGTAAATAGCTTAGTCTAAGTCATTATACCCGAGATTTTGTAAGCGTTCGTTGATTTACAAAAAAATTATTATTCCTTTGTGGATAATTAACAGATTTTAATTTACATACTAAACCGTAGAAAAAATATTTTTAAAAAAAAAAGGTTATTTGAAAACTTTTTAAAAGACTTTTTCGGATACGTCAGTACGATTTTAAAAGCACTACAAAGTAGAAAATATATTTTTTTAAATTCATTAAGTTATATAGTATTAGTATTGGTAGCCTAGTGAAATTGTCACGCTATTCAAGACACCAAAGAAAGGGGATCTCAGCAAGTGTGCAAACTGCAGATGAATTACACTGATGTCACAGTACCAGCAAAGGTCTTTAACAAAATTATTGGCAGCCTAATGAGGTTATCAAAATAAAGGTGCTATTCTCAGCCAGAGCCTTGGCGCAAGCCCTCAGATTTTTTAAGGGGCCCAAAGTTGTGATGAGGAAAACATAAAAACTATCAATTTTGAATGCAGGGGGCACAAAACCAAAGTGATTTGGGGGGGGGGGGGCGCTCGATAAGGCATGGGATCTATATTTTAGCTGCCCATTGAGGGTGTCACACTAAAGGTGACAAAAATAATTTTACCACCAAATATGTTTTGGGTCATCAATATATTAACTTTTAACTCCCACATGGCTGGTTTCAAGCCCGGGTGCAAAAAGATAAGAGAGGTTTCTTCTTCCCAAAGAAGAGTTATGAAGCCTTGTGACCAAAGCCAGGTTACACTGGAAGCTTCAAAGCCGAGGACCCTGCTTTCAAAGGCAATTAGCACAGGCTCGTGGAATGTTAGAACCATGCATGAATCAGTGAAATCAACAGAAGTGGCGGTAGAAATGAGAACATACAAACATACTTCTCTGCATCTGTGACACAAGATGGACACAAGGTAGACAGTTTTTAACGTTGGTCTCACGAGAAACACTAGTATACGGTACTCAGGGCAAGAGCAGTAAAATGCTCCACACACACAAGGAGTCGCTTTGAAGATGACACGGATGACAGTCCAAGAATTATTACGGCAACTTTCCGAACCAATAAGTAGAAAATAAATATGAATGTAATACAGTGCTATGCACTCACAAACGATAGTACGGAAGGTGAAAAAGAAGCTTTCTAGAGCAGACTATACAAGTGACAAGTCATACTGGACAATTTTCCAGATGGAAAAATATCATAATGATATATCTAAATGCTATTATGGGGGCGAAGAAATTATGGGGCGCCATGGTAAAGGAAAGAGAAATGAAAACGGAGAAAGACTTGCAGACTTCTGCGTTATTACGGGCAGTGAATTCCAGCATACGAATAAATGAGAGGAAAGAAATAAAGTGTGCAGTTAAAAAGCAAAAAAATAACCGCACCAGGGCAGAGGATAAATATAAAGAGGCCAATCAAGGGAAGGGTAAAGAATAGTCTTTAAAAAGATGAAAGAGCTTACATAGGGTCTAGCGTCAACAGCAGCAGTCAGAAATGGGAAAACGCGAAACAAAGACAGCTCTCACGAAGATACAAGAAGCCATAGAGACCAGTTAAAGACATGGAAGGTGGATCAATAAAGAAATTAAAAGAACAACAAACGGATGGAATACTTTAAGGAATTACTTAGCAGACCTCCACCCACAGACTCACCAGATATGCAACTAGCAAATTAAGACTTACAAATAGCAGACAGCAGCCAAAATAAGGACGAAATATCCTTGGCTATATAAAGCAACTTAAATTTGGGATAACACCCAGGCCGGATAATGACACAACAGAGATGAGAGAAGATATGGATACAATAGTCAACATGCTACACCCTCTATTTGATAAGAAATGGGAAAAAGAGACAGCTCCAAAAGAATGGAAAGAAGGATACCTTATCAAGACACCAAAGAAAGGGGATCTCAGCAAGTGTGCAAACTGCAGATGAATTACACTGATGTCACAGTACCAGCAAAGGTCTTTAACAAAATTATTTTGAATAGAATGAAGGAACAGATCGACACGCAACTACGAGAAGAACATGCTGGCTTCCGCCGAAACAGACCAAGCACAGATAAAATAGCAGCACTAAGTATCATTGTAGAAAAATCCATCGAATGAAACTCCCCCTATATCTAAATTTTATAGACTACAAAAAAGCCTTTGATAGGCTGGACTGACAAACCTTGTGTTAACGTCTCCGGGATTATGGGGAATCAGGAAAACTAGTCAGGATCATTCAGAAATGAGATGAAGGGATGATACACGAATGTAGACTCACCACAGTTGCCTTTAATTATTAAAGTGGAAAACAGGAGTCAGATAAGAATGTCTCTTGTCCCGTTTCTATTCATCCTTGCTGTTGACTGCATAATAAAAAAAAATCTACAGACTAAAAGAGGAACAGGAAACGCCTACAGTGGACACCCTGGAAAAAAATGAATGACCTTGACTTTGTATTTCTGTCCTACTAAATGCAGGAAAGACTAAAGATGTAGCCACCATTTCAGCACAACTCAGACAAAGATTATGAAGGTAAACTCAGCCAACCAAGAGCATATCTCACTTGCTGGAAATACACTGGAAGAAGTTTAGGCCTTCCATTTATGTCAATGGTTGATCCGAAGCTGATGTCAGGGCTAGAATTTTAAAGGCTAGAGCGGCATTTGTGCTATTAAAGAAAATATGGGAGTCAAAGGAGCAGACTCTGCACACCAGTCAGAATTTTCAACACAAATGTCAAACAGTCCTACTCTATGGAGCCGAAACCTGGAATACAACAGCGAGCATTATGCAGAAAGTACAGAACTTCATAAACAGTTGCCTTAGAAAGATCCTGAATATCAAATGGCCAAACACCATCACCAACAAAAACTTAATGGAAAGCACTGAACAGGAGCCTTTAGCTGAAGATAACATAATCAAAAGGAAAAGATAGATGGAAGTAAATAGGGCACACTCATTGTAAACCCCTAGTTGGAAGTGAATAGGGCACAATCTTTGTAAACCCCCAGATAACATCACCAGATAATCCCTAACATGGAATCCACAGGAAGAAATATGGAGAGTAAGGCCAATAAAAGAAAGCGAGGAAGGCCAATAATACATAGAGACATGAGCTAGAGGCAGACACACAAAGTATGGGATACACTTGGAAGTGGATGCAACTGGAAAGGGAAGCACAGGACTGAGATGAATGGAAAATTCTTGTGGATGGCCTATGCCACAGGCGGGGTAAAAGACATGAGTAAGTATATATTAACTTAAATATGCAAAGTGGAGGGAGCTTGTTTGCAGTAAATAATACAATGTTCAGAAGTACATTAATCTACATGAATTATATCACCAGTTGATTTTATTATTTTTCAAAGCCCTCAAAATTTAATTATTATGTATCAGGCCTGCACAACATGCGGCCCGCGGGCCCCATGTGGCTCGCCAGCATCCACTACTTTGCGTCCATTGAAGTAACGAAATATTCTTCATTATTTTCTTAATAGCTTTCCCCCCTGTCCTACTTTCTTTCGGCCTGCACTAGTTTTTCATAAAGTATTAATTCTAAATTCTTCTAAACCAACTACTTAATGCACACAATATAATTTGTTCTTACATCAATAATAGTCTTTCAAAAATCTGTATAAAAAAAATGCTTTAAAAAAATAAAAGAACAATTTAATTTGGGTATTTATTTACAAAGTTTATTTCATTACAAAAACAAAAAAAAGAATAATTCAGAGATACATTTATGAATTTGTAGTTTACAAAATATGAGTTTAAAAATATTCTACATTGGTGGAATGTTATCAATGGATGTACCAGTATAATGGAATGTCTTTTAAAGAGTACAAAAAATGAGCATGCTATATTTAATCTAAATTATATTGAAATTTTAAAGTACTTTTGAACACATTAAAAGGGAGATGATTTGTTCCAAAAATTATGAAAATTATATAAATAGACCAAATATGCCTATAGATTTTATTTCACTTAATTCAACCTCTGTAGTACTTTTAGCTTAGTTGTATTCATTGAGTTGCCCAGCTAAGAAATGATGAATGAGATGTCTCTAAATAAAGTAAATAAAGATTACAAAATCATTTTTAATTTTATTTTAAAAATTAATAATCTTTTTCGAGATTCAGAATTCTTTTCTCAAAAACTAAATTAATGAGTTTTATAAATAATCCTTTACCCTAATGGATATAAATGTATCAAGTAAAATTATGTGATGATGAACAATGGTGTCTATACAAAAATTGTATTTACATTGATTTACAGACTTTTGGTAAACTTTTGCTTACCTATTGGTTAATCATATTTATTATTAATTATCTTCAAAAATAATTTCAGATGCTTGATGAATTTGCAATGGATGTATCTGTTTAATTTCACATTTTCAAACTGACTTTAAATTTTATTTATATTTTTCAAAATAGATAATAGAAAATAGAAAAAATCTATTCCAAAATGTAAAAAAATTAAGCATTCATTACAAATAGAAGCCAAGGTGAATATTTTAAGTAAGTGCTGAGTATGAATGAACATATTTTCTGTCTGATATTCTCAGCTCATAGGCCATCTCATTCTCCATTTCATCAAGTCTTGAGAAAAGTACAATTGTAATGATGATCTGAAACAAAACATGTCATCTTACCGATCAAAATAGTGAAGGAATAATGTCACTCAATACCTCATCCTACTATTAAATAATCTATGTCAAACTTTATATACCACACATTAAAAGTCTACAATAATATTTTTGTTTCCAGCAAACGTTTTATGCACATTACCGTTGTACGCCAAAATCGTAAGAGTTAACAGGTCTGCATTACAGATTATCTTTTTCAAAGCAGTAAATCTGATTATTTTTAGCAGCCATAATTAGAGTGCCCCTATTTTGCACATAAAGTTGTCTTATGTACCTTTCTGTCAGCTTTACCTAAATACGTTAACAGTAATTAACAATCTGAACTGAGAAATCATGCAGTCTCATCATGAGTCGGAAAAATATACTCTGATACCGTAACAACAACAAAAATGTCAAAATATAAGTACCCATCATCAGATTAGAAATAAATGTACATTTTTTACAAATCAGTGACTGGTGAGTATTTAATGTACTGAAGTAGGTTTTAAAAGAAATGAAAAGGCTTACCCCTGCAATTAGTCTTGCCAACCAGTAGAGCCAAATAAACACAACAAATGCCAATCTCTGAAATTTGAAATACAAGCAATGGTTGATAAACATACATTATTATTAATAAAACAAAAATTATTCATTTAAAATATTTGGCTACTGGGGTTCAAATCTAAAAACTATTTTGTGATGACAAATAAAAGTAACAACGAATTCATTTTTGAAATGTTTAAAGACCATAATAACTGTCCATGACTAATTGTTAAAAATGAAATATGAAACTAACTAGATAATTATAAATATCAACGTTTACTTACAAATGTGTTAAGGCCATAGAAGGAGAACTCAACTACAGAAAAACAGAACTCAATGATGTTGTACATGATAAAGAAGTATGTGAAAATCCTCAGAGTCTCCATGTACAGTACAAAATGCTATTGGGGAACACAATAAAACATCAAGAAAAAGTTAATAGTAGTAAAAATATATTTTGGGTATATAATATATATTGGCCTACTTTGCAAATTAAACTTTGACATAAACTTGTTCAAATTTTAAAACATACAAAAATATAACTTACTTTCTGAGTGACCATGTATATCATGTACATGCAAAAGAGAATGATGACAACATGGCAGAAAACAATGATGACATCACTTGCCAAGAAGACTAAAATGTTATGAAAAAAAACAAAAAAACTTTAACACAAGCTTCAAAGAAAAGTTGTAATGTATATAAGAAATTTCAAAAGTAACAGTTAAATTGGATTTTGAAGAACAGCACCAAGGCTACTGTCATGATCACAAAAGAATTACATGTTAAGTTTAATTTGTAAATAGGGGAAAACTAGGTAAATATTGTCACGGAATGCAGAATCAGAGTATTTTGAACTACTATTAGCCAAATCCGGGTATGAATCTTAATACTTTTTGAACATAATTCATTATTAAACTTGACATTAATTAATTAATCTAATAATAATGCACTATAAATTAATGAAATAAATATTTATTTTTAAATAAAGTCAAAATCCTTTAAATGATTATCACTGATCACATTTAAAATGAACTCTGGTCATACCGACACAACTATGCTAATATCCTTTCAAAGGCACCTACTAACATTACTGATGTTTTGTGCAAATACTATGCCACTTGGTCACCCAATGGTAGGCATCAATATAATTATATATCAGAATTGAAAAACGTCTTACACACACGTAATATGTAAACATCTACTTTTAACATGTTATGTTCATAAAGCGCATACAAGTAAAAAGTACATTTTATCCACATTAGGGTAAGGTAACTTTTTAAAGTTGGATGATATTGATTTTACTTCATTAATTTAAATAAAGGAACCTGTCTTACTAATGCTACAGCTAGAATAATTAAACCATTAATTATCTAAAATTAAATGTAAACAGCTTTCAGCTTATCATTTTTGTACAAATAATATTGATCTGTGTAAACAAAACTCAAAATTTGACGCAAATCTGGCTTCAAACAAACTATTTTCATTTAAAGTTGTAATTTATCTATTTGAGAAGGATGTAAACATGTTAGAGTGCCTGTGCAGTAAATGTTATATCATGTGTATATAAAATTGGTGTAAAGTAGCTTATGTTTTCTCTCTGGGTTTTGGTGTGGATTGAACTCCAATTCACAAAGTTGAAATTGACGCAGTTTAGACTGTATACCATTCAGCCATCTATTTTAATATGCAAATTTATTCTAAAATACAATGTTAGGACAGTTAGTTTAGGTAGAAAATGATTCAGATTAATCAACATGTCAACAATGACTGAGTCTGAATCAATCTGTAGTCTAATAAGAAACTTAGTGACAATGAATGATCATGTCATTTCTCATAGTCATACGTACCAGTATAATAATTTAATAATAATTGTATGCTTTTTTCTTTCTTTCTCACTTTCTGTTTTTATTATAAATACAGTATATAATTAAAGTATGCTTTATTTCATTTTACAGATTTTTTTACAATCTATAACCTTGCTCTTCTGTTAAGTTTTGTTTGATTAACTGGGGATGTACTTAAAATTAAAACAACATTAAAAATTAAGTAAAACAAATAAAATTTACATTGCCATTGATGTGCTCTCCAGTTAGCACGGAATCCCTGGCTTATATCAAAGTTAGGCACAGATGCAGCTAAATCTAAAAGACGCAGCAGCAGGGCACCACCGGCTAGAATCTAATTAATGAAAAGTTTAAAAATTGACATTTATTAGTAATAGCAATATTCAGGCATATTTACAGTTACAGACATATATATTTTTCTATTTTATTTTAATTTTATGTTTTATGGCCTAATTATATTACTTAAATAACTAAGAAAGAAATCGAGTCGGTCGCAGAAAAAGAAATATGTATTTTTAGATTTAGGCATACTGCTTAAACTTTTCAACCAAGATAACATTAATTTCAATAATTGGATCTGAGTGACAGTGTCAGTGACACATGTTCATGTAGACTATAAATTACCGTATAAATATAATTTAGCCTTAACCTAGGTCACCATATTACCATATTGAATCATGACCATTGGACCAATTATACTATACTAATATCTTATAATGGCAATGACATTATCCACTTAAAACAAACTTCATTTCAACTTTACTGTCACCTTGATTTACTTAAGGGGATTTAGGCTTTTATTTCACTTAGTTTAGGTCATAAGTTAGACTTGGAAGCACAGTAACTCTAACACGGAAGTGCCATGAAATGAAAACAATGAATCAATGACTATGACTTTCAACAGAGTAGCCTCTATTATACATGGACTTTTATAATAGCAAATGTATCTCCAAGATCCTAAATTTAATCTTAAAGAACTATCGGTTAGGCTTGCTATATTTGTTGATCAAAATGTTACCACAATGGCGACGAGATTGGCAAATGTTGCTGTTCGCAGATCCCAGCACAAACAGCGCCGAATAATCGCCATGTTAAACAACTACCTGTGACCTACTTTCCAGTGAGTTAAGGTAATAATTCCGGTAAGAAATGGCTGATGGTACGTACAAGTGTCGATAGCTAACCGGATGATTCGATGGTCCTAGTCGACTTCGACGGACGAACAACAACAATATGAATGATGCAGAGCGCAAAATCCAAGCAACTGTTCTTACCAAAATGATGATTTTGCATGATGAAATGGCTTTTTTTTTCTCTCCGGGTTGGCCAGTGATTAATCTGTTATAAATTGTTCAATTCATTTAATTTTTTTAGTCCATTTCTGACATCAAGGCCTACTAGTCTTTATCGGTGAAGTTTGATTTCTTAAGAATCCTCGAGGGGCGAAGCCACCTGGGCTGCTTCTCATTACAAAAATACTTGCGTATTAAATCTTAAGTTGATGTTCATTAATATTAAAGTTCATGAGCGACTAACATGGGGCAGAAACCGATATTTTAAGGCAGGCGTCAGCAACCTTCTTGGAATAAAACGGAATTTTATCAATTAAATCTGCTAATAAAAACATTTTGGAAAAGGGGGGGGGGGAGGGGCATGTAAAGTGTATTGTTTAAAGGGATATCTTGTTGTAAAAGTTAAAGCGTACTCGCCACATAATGATAGTGTATTTTAAAATCCTTCACACTAATGAGTTTAATTAGTATGTTTGTTCTGTTTAACATCTTAATACAAATGTTACAATTGATAAATACAAAAATGTAATTATAAAATATATATTTAAGATGAACAGCTAAACACCATTTTTGTTAGATGAAATAAATCCAAATAGCATTGAAACTCAGCCATTTAAACGTCTAGCATTTTCACTACCACAAGACATCCCCCTGCCCCAAGGAAAATAAAGGTCGGTTATGGACAGTGCCTTTTTTAAAGTTTTTTTTTTTTCGGGCGCTTGGCCTTTACAGGCCACCACTGTTAGAGATGATAGTGTGTAATGAAGTGAGACCGATGAGGGTACTTCCTTGAATAACAAATAATATAGTGGCTTCGTTTGCATGCAAAACGACACAATAATGATACCGGCAATCATAATAATAATGTTTAAATTAAACAACCCCTCAAAACAAAGTTATTCTTAAGAATCCTTTATAAAATTTACTATCAAGCGGGGTGGGGGTGGGGGGGGGGCTGCTGAACATTTGACAAAACATGCATAGAAGTAACGCACTTTATAAGAATCCCAATTAGTGCTCGCAACTGCACATTCTTTTCACGCCCCTGACTTATATTTAAAAAAATATATGACCCACCCGCTTTTACAAAGCATAATTATTTTCCTAACTGTTTCAGAAACAACAAACGAGAGTATCGAGCACTAAAAATATTTGCGACATTTAAAACAAAAACAAAAAGAATCTCATTTAGCAGTTATCGGGAATTTTATTTCATGAAATCAGTCAATTCAGTGTCATCATTTATCCTTCATATTCCTCTTGAAAAACAGCTGAAAAATTATTTTGGGGGCAGGGGTGAAAATTTTATAGAATGTGTTGTCATCGGCAACGAGTCTCTGTGCCAAGTTTCAGCTCGATAGGATGGCAGGAAGTGGGTCAATTAGCCGTTCGAAGATTTTGCCACCCAGAAACACGCGAACAAAAGCGAAGTTAACTTAAACTTTTTTTTTTAAACACCCACGACGCCGGCAAGGAAAAAAAAAACAGAAAACGATTGTTTTATATGTTAAAATAAAAATTCATTAGATTTAGGTCTAATTAAGACGAGGCATCTGCATCTCAATATATGTTAATAAAAGGATAAAAAAAATATTTTGTAAAGCTACATGGTTTTATTAAAAATGCGTTATAAATGAGCCCTTATAAGATTTTTAGTTTTAGTCTTAAATGTCTGAGAAAAAAATTGCCGGAAACCAATACAAATTTTTTCAGAGGACCAGTGTCCAAAAATTAGATATGAATTGAACGCCTCAATAAAATCATCAAGCTACCTCACCGACCACATGCCGATAAAGTAACTTTCTGTAAGATACAGATAACAATGTAATCTGTTTAATTTCTAGTTTAAATCAACAATTATCGTTAATAATGTAATTTTCTATCAAAAGTATCCTTTCACGCAAGCACCTCGATTTCATTCTCCTCTTTTATGGCTCCACAAATTAAATTTTGATTTTAATGTTTAAAAGTTAAGTGTATGTAGTTGAAGCTGAACCCGCACCTCGTCTCACTCTTTTTTGTCATTATGTCACTTATGTCATGTGTGTCGCTGTCTTTGATTCTGAACACTCATTTATTTGTTTTTTTTAGATAAAATTGTATTTTATATTTGACTAAATTGTGTTGGTCATTAAATATTTATTGAGACCTTAAATAAAATTAAAATATGGTATTACTGTTAGAGTAGCAAAAAGTAGTAGCGAAAACCATGTTTTGTCGTAGCGTGCTCAGAGATTTACAGAAATCTGCGGATGTCGGCGCATCCATCACCGGCAATTTCAAAGTAAATAGTCGGATTTATCATTTATGAGAGACTATCATAAAACGGGTATACCCATAGACTGCTATTTTTGTTAAAACTTCAGGTATTCTCTAATTGAGCGTCTTAAGTTCAACGCAAACGCTAAAATAAGGGATTACCTCTAATACTAGTCAGTAGTAACTATAATATAATTAAAAATACGAACTAACTTAATACTTAACCACTAAGACTAAGGACTTTGACTTAGACTTTATGAACTTTATTTAGTCAATTTAGACCTACACTACTGTTACAGTCAGTCAGTCAGTTGCCTGAGTTGCTGAGTTACAGCCGTAGCAGATTTAACAAGAAAACAGAAAGTGGGAAAGAAATAAATGAAAAAGCATACAATTATTATTGGATTATTATAATAGTAAGTAGTATGAGTCATGAGAAATGACATGATGATCATTCATGTCACTTACTAAGACTAAGTTAGTACTAAGTTTCTTATTAGACTATTGTGACTATATAGGGTAGAGTACTATAGACTGATTCAGATTCAGTCATTGTTGACACAAGGATTTCATGTTGATTAATCTGAATCATTTTCTACCTAAATTAAACTAACTCAACTAACTGTCCTAACATTGTATTTTAGAAATAAAGTGTATTGGTAGTTTACTACCAATAACAATAGTACAATAGCTTCTAGGGAGCTATTTGAAGTAAACTACCAATAGCTTCTAGGTCTAGAGAGCTATTGGTAGTCCAATCAATCATATCAACCAAAATTGGAGCTTTAAAAACCAGCTTTCAATGATGAAAGCGAAGTATTGCCCTATTTTTATTACTAGCTCGTATAGTGACAACATCTCGGCACTAATTATAAAATCTACAGTACTGTCACTGTCTGCATTACCCTTCCTCATGCTCAGATTTGGCGATATTGCTATAGAATTATAATTTATAATATAGACCTAATTATAAATTATAGGATACTTATTAACGGGGGGGGGGGGGGGGGTCAAAGTCTAAAAAAATTTTTCCCGCCTTCTTTTTCGGGGGTGGGGGGGGGGTGTCATAGTCTGAAAAAATGTTTCCCAGCTTCTTTTTTGGCAAGGCCAAAGTAATATGTGCATGAAAAATAGTTTATAAAATCCAGCTGTAAAATTTTTGTGTGTGCTAATTATGATTAAAATTATAAATTAAAATATAAGCCTGAATATTTCTATAATTACCATAAGAATAGTTAACTGCATAAAAATTGTGCAAATTAAAAAAAATCCTGTTACTTTAGTTAAATAAAACTGTATAATCATGTGATTAGGCTTAAACTTAAAGATCATAACATAAGCTTAGGCCAATCTTTATTTTGGAACGTGGTCACGTGACAAACACGCTACCACCCCCTGTTATTGATTTTCTGTTGGGAGATAGGTCCACTGAGTATTATTTACACAAGTTAGCCCGCGTTAACTTATAAAGGTGTCAATATTTTTATGTACAATTAAACATTTTCATTGGTGGGTATATTTTGTGCATCTATTACGCAAATTAACTTAACGTCTTGGAACCACATTTTACTATTTATTTTTAATGCTATGCATAATCAATTTTTTAAAGCTGCAAAGAATCCAATGAAAACATAGGCTAAGCAGAGATAAAAACAAAAAAATTAAAAAATCTATACAAAGAAAGAAAAATATGTATATACTGTCTTTTTTAATATTACAGTTACCGCATTTAGAGCAAATTTCAAATTAAAAATATGAAACCATAATCAACTTTTTAACTTTAGTACTTTTTGAGCTACCAATTTTTAAAGTGCGACTTTGTTTGGTATTTTCTACTATGGACGAAGGCTCCACATTTTGTGACCTCATTCTGCTGATCCCGTCTTGCGCAATGACTATATAGTTTATATAAAGGCAACGCATCCCCTTATTACGGTACTAAAATACTATTTACGGACTACTTTTTTTTAACTTTCAACTTTGGCACATGACTATTTAATTAAAGCATTCCCTGAAAAATGGTTTAATAGTTTTTGCACACTGCAAACTCTTATGAATGAAATTCTGACATAGTACCATGGCATAGCCATTATACAAGTGACCGTGAATGGCTGCCCATTACAATATTTTGCACACAGCAAATTATGATCATTTATAATATGGATTCTACCGGGTTTTTAAACCTCGAATTAAAACGTATTTATTTAAATTACTTCTAGGTTCATTCTAAAACACAAGTCCTGTATTTTGAGAAATAAATAATTATTTTTAATTATGAAAAACTTGTTTATTTGTTGTTTTTATTTCTTCTTGCGGAGTTCAAAAGCCGACAATTTGTCATGGGGATTGAGATAAACAAGGTTAAGTGGCAAATTTGACAGTCTTTTGTGCTCGATATATCAGGATTCGCCGACATAAAAGAATCAACATAACTGAGGAGAAAATGCTAAGAGAAAGAGAGAATTTGGCGGTTCCACTTCAAAAAGTCAACATAACAGGGTTTGCGAGTTAACCGAGGTTGAGATAAGCGGGTTCGACTGATCATCATAATAATTTAAGGATAGTTTAATAGACATAAATAGATCATTATCAAAATCAAATTACTTGTGACTTCTTAGTAACATTAACTACATTTTACTTTGGCTTTGGAGATAAATTGATAGATTTAGATACACTTACCACACCTTTAAAAAAACACACTTTTAGTAACTTAGTAACTTGCTTCAATTATCCAATTGCAAGGCATGTCAAAAATTTAAAAAGGGTTATCAACAATTACTAGTTAAGCCAGGTTAAAAGCTTTAGAAAATGAAATAAAACAAACTATTGTATTGTTGTTGTCATTTGCCTATATTACTAATAGAGATTTGTATACCAGTTTTAGTGTTTTTCAATCTTGTTTACCCCATCTGAGCATGTAAAAAAAGTAAAATGCCTCCAAGTTTGTGGAAGAATTACAAAAAATATGTAGTTCTTCACGCTGCTGTTTGGAAATTGAATTTCAAATTCACAGCCATTTTACTCAGGCCTCAAGATTTAAATTTGTATAATAATACATACCGGTACCATAAATAAATAAAAGTTACATTGCAATAAATGATAATAAATCGTAATGGTTGCATTTATTAAAAGGTGTATTTTATAAATGAGTCACATTTTTGTGATGATGTGTGGGGAGGAGAGGGAGGGGGGGTTTAAAGCAATGTGACGTCACATTATAGTTACAAAAAAAAAAAGCCCCTAATAACACACTAAATTACTGATATTTTTAAGATTATTCTTCTATACCGGTACAAAAATATAAAAAAAATTATTTTCAAACTACGATCATTGAGAGAATCAGCAGGTATGCGAGGTCTGAGGAATGGCATCTGATCAAGTTACATGAGATCACAGAGCAGGAGAATCCGGATGTACTGACTTTGAAAGTTGTCAGAATTTATGTCAAAATATGGATATGGGAATCATAGAATTGGGGCTACCATGGAAAGGGAGATGAAACGATCTAGGTCAGGGATTCTTAGATTTTATGCTATGCTGCATTCCCTCTCAACTCTCCCCCCACTCCCGTATAAATTAAAATTAAATGGTAATACAATTTTAAAAAATGAAAATTATTTATTTATTTTCATTTTATTTGATTAATTAACTTAGCTGATACAGGAAAAAAAACATTTACTGCTGCTATTCAAAATGCATAAAAACTGATTATATTTTTAAAGGCAGAAACAACTAGCAATGGCAGCAAATAAAATTTATTTTCTGAGTCTTCCGCACCACAGGGGGTGCTTTCATACCTGTTTAACAACCACTGCTTTAGTTCTAGGGAAATGTTTCTGACACAGGTGGAGTATTCGATATCAATGGGAGGGGATTTTTGTAAGCAAATGTAAAGGAAAATAGTGGACAGATGTATTTTTAGGGGGGGGGGTGTGTGTATAGAGGTTTGTTACGTAATATTGGAGGGGTGGATAAACTTTTTATGATGATTGGGGGGGGTCCAAAAAATTGGAAAACGATGGAAATTCTTACCAAAAATGAATCTTTATCCTCAATCAAAGAGAGATAATATTTGTTGAGGGTATTTTTTGTTACAGTTCCTGTGTACTCATTGTGCACCAATAACTTTACTAATGGTAGGCAGCTCAAAGCACATATGCCAGTACTTGGTTGCAGCAACATAGTCTATCTGAATTAATTAATTTATTTTTAATTGATAACCAAATACACATCCTGTCCCTTGAAAATGAATACAAAATGAAATAGGTCTTTTGAGGAGATTAGCTATTTTATTTTTGATTGAATTTTCCAAAATGAAATTTAGCATGAAGTTCATTGTCATGTAATTAATTTTAATTCCAAATAAAAGCAAATTGTATTTATTTATATTTTTGTTTTTTCAACAGATATTTGAAAATGCCGAAAAGGCTTAAAAAGATCAACTTTAATTTTTCTGATAGCTCAGAAGAGGAAGAGTCTATTTCTGTTTGTAAAGAAAAGACTATTGGCAATAGAACAGAATTGCCAAGAAACGTAATAGCTCATACAAAAAAAGTGTTACGTCCTATACAGAATTGTATCAGTCCAAATGATGTTTCAGAATGTCATTTACCTGACACTTCTGACCAATATTCAACAGGCAAAGAAATTGAAAAATCCTGTGGTCAAAATGTCAGTCAAGCTCAAGAACAATCATTTGAAACTAGTTTTATTAGCTCAAATGGCGATTTATATAAAAAAACGGAGCAGATAGATACAGATATTGAGCCCCTTTGTTACCACACCCAAATGAAGTCTTGTAATGGACAACCTGACTTTTCAGGCAGCTTCTTTGAAGTATGTGATGTTTCTGCCCAGACGAGTTTACTTTACACTGATCTTGAAATGACACCAGAATGTTTGAAATCCAGTTCTGAATTGAAAGATAATTCAAAAGATTATTTTCCATTAAATCAGGAGTCATCTGAGGTTAAGAGTGGCTCCGCTATTGCTCTTGCCAATGATAGCTCAGAAGATGAACAGCCTATTTCTGTTTGTAAAGAAAAGACACTAGGCAATAGAACAGAGCTGCCCAAAAACGTAATAGCTCATACAAAAAAAGTGTTAAGTCCTATACACAATTGTATCAGTCCAAATGATGTTTCAGAATGTCATTCACCTGACACTTCTGACCAATATTCAACAGGCAAAGAAATTGAAAAATCCTGTGGTCAAAATGTCAGTCAAGCTCAAGAACAATCATTTGAAACTAGTTTTATTAGCTCAGATGAGGATTTAAATAAAAACACAGATACAGATGATGAGGCCCTTTGTTACCACAACCAAATGAAGTCATGTAATGGACAACCTGACTTTTCAGGCAGCTTCTTTGAAGTTTGTGATGTTTCTGCCCAGACAAGTCTACTTTACACTGATCTTGAAATGACACCAGAATGTTTGAAACCCAGTTCTGAATTGAAAGATAATTCAAAAAATTATTTTCCATTAAATGAGGAGTCATCTGAGGTTGAGAATGGCTCGGTTATTGTTCTTGCCAGTGCAAGTGAAGACGAAGAGGACTTGACCAGTAACACTGATCTGTGCCAGTTTGGTGTGAATGAACATTTTACAGTACCTGAATCTGATAATGAAAGGGAAGATGATGAAAGTAACATTGAAAACAAGGGTAAAGATAAATATTTAGAAAATGGATAACAGAACTGAGAAATGAAATTTTAATTAATTCTAAGTTTGATATGGATAGAATTATTAGAATTGTGATTTGGTGGAACAATCAGTAAGTAAGCTAATGCTTCAAATCCCATCATGTACCATATGTGCTATATACATACGGTACATTTACCAGAATAAAATTTATGGAGAGAGGGGGAAATTAAAATAAATTACAATTGAAGAGCAATCATGAAAACCACAGTATTAATATTTTTTGCTATAATTTTAGTATAATCACATGCATTACTGCATGGATCTGCAACTTTTAAATATAACTGTTTGGTAACCAAATAAATGCAAGGTTAAGATGCAAATAAAATGAATTGAGATGTTTGAATGCCATGAAAAGCAAGATAAAGTTATTCCCTTCATTACCTCTATGGATGCACAAAATTCTAAAAAAGTGTTTTTTTAATTCCAGAACTTAAGATAAATACACCACACAGATTGCCAGTAATGGACAAGCTCTCTCCAGCTGTTGACCTCATCAGTGTGGACGGTGACAGTGATGATGAAGATAATGAACCTCACTTAACCACTAGTAGATTACAGGGAAGTTCATCACCCTTGTTCTCTTCCAGTCATGGGGTTAAAGAAAAAGTGAAACTTAGCAAGGAATCACTTGATCAAATGGTTAAACTAACAGGAGCACTGTCTCTCAATAGGTTTGTACATCTTAATAATTAGTTAGTTCCCTTTCTCGCTTATAGTGTTTATGTTGATTTTGTTGTTTTATTCTTGCATACAAAAGAAAAATTCAATTTAGTTTTGAAAACAAGTGCTAAGGGGTTTCCCATAAAGGGCGTCGAACAAAATACAATTTTTTTTTCTTTTATTTCCCTCCTCCTTATCTGCAATTGTCAACATGAGTATTTCTCGTCTCCCTCCCCCCCCCCCATCCCAGGGTTGCAGGCGCATATGGCAATTTACTGTGCAAAATGCAAGTAATTATACTTATTATAAAGACCAAAGAATCACTAGATTTAAACTTCTAAATCAGTATGATATGCACTGCTGGTTTGGGGGGGGGGGATGATTTTGGAGGTTATGCATTCTGGGGGTTGTTACAAAGATTTAGTAATAATCCTGAAATCTGAAACTCTCAAATAAAGCCAACAGTCGTCTAAAAATCTGTGAAATTGATGATTTTTTATTAATTTTTAAAAAGAAATTATTGCAATGTTTTGTATCTATTGCTTTGTGTTTACATTCGCTAGATATCATTTATAGTTATTGGTACATGATTTTCTTCCTGTGACATAATTTGTGACAATTGTTTCATTTAGCCGAACCAAGAAGCTGCACTGGCAAAAAATAAACTGAGAGGACACATTACACATATTTTAACATGCTTTACGCTTGCTTCCCAAGATGCAAGATGATTTTTTTTTTACCTCACTCCCCAACTGATTACCCAAAATGTTTTAATGCCCCATACCCCCCAAATTATTGGGAATTAAAAAAAAACAACAACAGCCCTAATGCTGCCTTAAAGAATAATGCATTTCAATATTGCTGCCAAAAGTAGGAAAAAACGAACAAAAATAATTGAGCTAAATTTGTGTTGTAATATATGAAAAACAGTACCTATATAAAGGTAGTTAATTTTTTTTTAAATCAGGTTAAAATACAACCCCCCTTTTTTTTTTTTCTTCCCATTTTGAAACAAATGCATTTCTTATATCCCAGAGCCTTGATGTAGCTAGGTTTAGTGACCCCCACCCCATAACCAGGTGGACTAATATTTTAGCAGCCCACTCTCATGAAAAACTCTACAGTTAGTCAAAAATATCACCCCTCCTTTTAAAAAAAAGTGGTATCCAGGGTGGACTGTTTCTCCGCACCCTTCCCCCCACTTTTCCTTTACCATTGTCCCAATGACAATTATGTGTCTTCCTATAGTCTACAATGTGCCTTCTTGTGGGGGGGGTACACCATAAGTTAGCAAACACTGGAAATATGGGAGGGGTGGAGTTGAGAGAACATAATATGTGGATGTCTCCTAATTTATAATATAAGTCATTTGATTAAAGTCAACCTGTGAAAAAACTCCCATTGTTTACATTTGTCGATAATTAGCAACCACATATTTAGAGTGATCTCCCTTAAGAAGGTTTTTTCTAAATTCTTGGTGGTTTATGAATATATGATCAAAATTTTGCAAATAGATCAGAGATAAAGAGGAATACACGCAGTAGGCATAAAGCAGCATATGGCATTAAAATAAAACAGCTAACTTGTAGATGTTCACAACATCCTTTTAGCCCCCCCTTCCCCAAATTTGCATTGTCCGATAATGAACAAACATTCCCCCCCCCCTTTTCCTTTCCTGTCTCTGCGAAGGTCTAAGGACGACACTCAACCCTAATTACATTATCCCATATCTTCTGGTTCATTGCATATAATCACATAACCCCCTCCCCACTTCTTTTACCATGTAAATTTGTTCAGAGGTTGACAAATCTCAAAATAATTAAGAGTGGGTTCCATTTTCTTATATTTTTTTTTGCAAAGGAGGGATAAAAAAAAAGTATAAGATTCATGCTGCTTTTTGAAAATTTGGGACAGGAATTCCAGCTTAGTAAATTTCAATTGCAGGAAAAATAAATATGACGACTCTTCAAGTGAAGATGAATTTGAAAATTGTAAGTTGTTCACTAAAAAAAATTCTGAATTCTTTAAAGTAATAATAAAATTTGTGTTCAAATAAGTACTCAGATGAAACATTACTTTTTTAAAAATAAATAATGTTTAAATGGCTAAAAAAAAATTAAGTTTTAAATAATTTTATAGATTTGCTAAAGTGTTATGCCATTTATCACCCAATAGATACAATTAACATTTGGCCGGTTACTAACTTAAAATTCTTGTTTAAAATACAGCCTTATTTTGCAAAATTCATATTTAAATAAGAAAATAAATTAAACTAGTTGAGTAATGAAATAAGATTTGTGACATCCAAATCTGTGCTAATTCTATTCTATGCTTTATTTATGTATTTAGTCTTGGGTAAGATTAAGAAAGAAGTCCACATGAAAAGTCCAAGCAGAAGTGAAATGTGAGTTTTTTTTAGTTACTACTGTGATAATAATTTAAAATTTACTGTTTAATGAAAACCATACATTTTAATATAAATGAAATAATTGCTAAGAAATAGGTTTTGATGAATGACATCAATAATAATAATAATGAAGAGAAATAAAAACATAACAAGTTAAAATTTGCTGAAACACTGAGAAAATTATTTGCTAATTTTTAACACTTTAAAATTGTCAATAAAAGTATTCCATATAACATTTTATATAGGATTCCACTTGATGAATTTATAGTAGATGATGATTCCGTGTCACATACTGATGAAGAAGAGGATGAGCTATTTTATATCAAATATAACAATGACCGGTTACAGGAAAATAAAAGGGAAAAAAGGTATTTTACTTATTACTTTTTAAAACATATGATTTGACTAATAGCTGTACTAAAAAAAATTTTGCTAGTGATATCTTGACACTTACTGTCAACTTATTTTTGGTAGTTGCTATGTTGAAAAGCAATGGAAGTACCTGAAACTGCTTGGCGTAAATAATTTGTGAACAAGATTCTAAAATATTAAATTGACAAAAGCAGTGTTAAAATGTATGACCTTGTATAGTGCTAAATTACCAAGGCTGTGGCAAATGATAATTTAATCTGAAAGATGAATACACAACAATGTCACACAATCACCCTCAAGGTTATCATTGCTTTCTCCAATTTTTGAGTGTAAGTTTTAATGTAAATAATGAAGCTGAGTTTTTTTACTTCTCAGGGAAGCATACCCCGGGTTTGATTCTGAGAGTTCTATCTCACTGTCTGATGATGACTCCAATTCTGACAGTGACCACATAGAAACTGAACACCATACATACAGAAGAAATCTGGGAAAAAAATCAGAGAAGATCTCTGCTGATTTATTTTATGACAGAAGCAACATAGAAGCCAAGGAAGATTTTTCTATTGATTTATTAAAAGAAAATTCACTTAAAAGCACTAAATCATTGAGATCTAAATCAGAAGAGCTACTTGAAGACAGGCACAATACTTGCAAAACATCCACGGAAACATTTAAAACTCCATTGCTAAACCGAGGTCAACCAGATAAATTTAATATGCCACTTGCAACAAATCTTATCTAGCCTTAGTTATTTAACTAACTACTACTGACTTATGTCACTTTTGTTATTGTTAAACCACTGTTAAGATACATTATCTAAAATTCAGTGTATAAGTGCTTTTGTATAAATTATTTAACAATACCCTTTGTTCTCATTAGTTTTGCAGGTTCATGCAGCAACTAATCCACCTCCAAGAAAACCCGGCAATATTGGCTTTGATGACGCACTTCATCTTTTGAATTCACTTTCACGGGACTATCCTGAGTATAAACAACACCCAGAAGCTGCCAGGTATGTCTCAGTTTTCCAAAAAATTACCCAAAAAGTAACCCCACGAGTTAAAAAGTGTATGAGGAGAAAGGAAAAAAAAATTAGTTGCATATGTTATCCCCTTTTTTTTTTCTTTTTTGAGATGTAAAAATTAAGGCAAGTTTTTCCCGCCTCCCTCTAGCTTAACCAAGGATGATAGTTACACTTATGTCTCTCACTAATCTCAATGTTATCAAATAATACTGATAGTATTTGCCCGTAGAACTTAATGAATTAATAAATGCTTACGTTTTGCAGATTTGTCAGGAATTTTCAACGGACAAAGGAGGAATTAACAAAGAGACTATTATTTATCTTTAATGAGGAGGTCTTTGAAAATAAGGTAAGTTAATTGATTTATGATGGGCAATGAGAATAGTCTTTTTAGGAGTTAATTGTTCATTTATTTTTAACACTAAGCTTTGGATGAAGTACCATACAAATGAGTAAGAATGAAAAGAACACAAACACACTCTGATATAAAGTCAAATCTCATAAGCTTTATTAACATTATAGAAATTAATTTTACATACATGTCTTGATGTTCTTCACCTTTAAACTTTAAACCATTGTTAATTAAAATATATAAAATTAGCAAATTTAACACTAAAAATGCTTTTGGGAGCAATAAAGAAATATTGCTTATTAAAATATTTTGTCTATGATTAATAGATAATTTTTTTTAAATAGACTGTCATAGCCTGTCTATTCACCTAGTTTTTATTCACAACACGCCTTACATTCAACCTTACCTTTGCTCCCCCATTTTGTGCTTTGATACTGAGGTCACTGATTAAATGTGTAGTGCCAATATTTTTTTACTCTCCCCTGCCTTGATTAGAAAAAGGTTGTTTACATTCTATTTGTTCTAAAGAATTATATCGGGTGATGCAAATTCTTGAATTTCTTTCCTGGAGGTTCCAACTATCTCCCTATAAATAAACCGACAGCTTTTCTAGCCGGAAGAGGGTTTTGCTAATTTTCCTAGACATTTACGAGACATAATATATTAATATGAGTCTTAAAAGATTGTGCTCTTTGTGTGTGTATAAATAATATTTGTATCCTTTGAGGATTGTACCTTTTCCCTCCCTGTGCTGTAACTTACTGTAAGTTGATGTAGTTTTTATTTCTGTGTATTTGATTTTTATTTTTACAAAAATTTGATAGTATAATTAAATTGAAAATTGTTAGTATCACTAGCTTTGGTATCATTTTTCTTACTGTTTTTTTATTCGTTGTTACGTACTGTTCATTTATCTAGCCAAATCTTAAAACAGATTAAAATTTCATAACCATAAAGCGGTATGTAACACGGACTAACAACTTTATAAACTTTCCCCTTTATATTAAACCATTGAAATGATATTAATGACTTGAACTGATTGTAAGATTTAAATCATGAGTTGTTTGAGTGGGATGTTGATCAGGAGAGCGTGTACACCTTTGTCACAATGAAGAAATCCTAAGCCGGTTGGTCAGCTGGTTTTATTTAAAAGTTTATAGGGTCATCAAGAAATCTAAAACAGGTCCAAATGAGAATTGAAGAAGACCGTAAACAATGCCATTTGTTGAGTATTATTATAATGACAACTTAACTATTAACAGACACTGGAAATTTAAAAGAAGGTTTTTAACTTCAATTTGAAATTTTGTGAAATAGAATTATTTTACATATAATTTCTGTGACTATTTATCATCTTTGTTTTTTTTTTAAATTTATCCCTTCATCAGGCTATGATAAATGAAGATGGGTGTTATAGCCAAACTCTGCAAGCTAATATTAAAATAAATACAAAAAGTAGTAGTCAAACTCTGAAAGTGAGAGCTCTTTATTTTCTCTTTCTGTAAAGTCATACAAATTAAGCATAACTTCATTAGTAACGTGTTAGGCTTTCCTGAATTTTAAACATATTTTTTTCAGACTTCATCTAGATTTATATTGGCTCTTTATCCCACATAAACGCAAACTTTTTTTCAAATTTTATGTGCCATGGATTCTAGTAGAACCAAGGGAAGGGCTGGGTGATGCTTTTGGGATATTGATAGAAAAATCAGTATCCACGAAATGCTTACATCCATGTTCAATGTTATTTTTTTAACTGTTTAAAAATTTTTAAAAATTTTGTTGTTTGTTTCAGCTACCAAAGGATCTTGAGATAGAATGGAGCCAAAGATACACAAAGACAGCTGGAACATTTTGTTATAGAGGCACACCAAGCAACTTTAAAGCAAAAATAACTTTGTCAGTTAAAGTTTGCGATTCTCCAGGTAATAAGCCCAGTTGATGTCTAATTGAAAATTGTGCTTAGCTTGAAGGCAACATGCCCCAACCCCTAAGAAAAAACAAAAGAAATTATATTTTTAAGGTAATGTGACGGAAACTATCAAAAAGTTTCAATAATTTCTGTTCACAAAATGAACAAAATTTTGTCCCTAATGAAAATAGAAACATATTTTTCTTTTTCTAGTGAAATATTAATGTTAATAATAATTATAGATTTAGTCTTACACGTTTCAATGACATCTTTATTTATTTATTAGAACGTGTGAGAAATACCCTTGCTCATGAACTCTGTCATGCTGCTGTTAAACTGATCAATGGAGCCAATGAAAGCCATGGACCAATCTGGAAGTCATGGTAAATTCTTTTTATTAAAATTTTTTTATTCTTTTCACTTACAAAATTAAAGGACATCTTAATTAAATGTACTGCAACTGATGATTAATATTATGGTGGTGGTATTAAGTATTAAGTGGTATTAGGCCTCATCATCACTGGTTTCCAAAATGTGGCCCTCTTAACCTGAAGAAGGCCGGCTCAAAACCATAGTTCTACTACAGCTATATTAAAATAGCAAGGTAGCTGGTCTTACGAAGGAGAAAGAGCATGAGTAAAAACCTCAACTGATAGAGGCAGCTATAAACATGGTGTGTTTTAAAAATGATCTGTTTATGTTCACCTGACCATGTGTCTAATATTTTTTTAAAAAATGGTGTCTATTCTACAAAACTTTTCTTTGATCTCTGTAGTGTACAACTCTCATGCAGTTAGTTGTCCATTCTTATTTCTTTGGACCATTGATGCCTTGTACCTAAAAGGTTGGGAATATGAAAGTGACAGTCTCATTTTGTTCACGTCTCTTGCTTACCTGGTACTATTAACTCAGTGTTTTGATGTTGACTGCAGGGCTAGGAAGATAAACAGAAAGTTTCCCTTCATGCCAACCATAGCCAGATGTCATGATTATCAGATAAATACCAAGTATACTTATCAGTGTGTCAAATGCAAATACAGGTGAAGAAATATTTCCTACGGTATATAATTAATTATATACATTATTCTTTATTACTGCATCTCTACTAACTTTTCTTAAGTCATTTTAAACTTGTAATTTTAACATAAAATGTTCTGTATTTGTAGAATAAATACTTTTAATGGACATATTCAATTCTATTTTTAAACATTTGTTAGTGAGTATCATTTATAGTTTAGACAACAGTGCAAGTTACATACTCTATTTAATACTTCTAAATATTGATCTTGTTTTCATTATAGGATAGGACGCCATTCCAAGTCATTAGATACTGAAAGAAAAGTTTGTGGCTTTTGCCTTGGCAAATTTGAAGTTTACTTAACAAAATCTCTGAATTCCATAAAAGGTGATAATCCAACAACTCCAGCTCCAAAGACACCGAATAAATTTGCATTGTATGTCAAAGAGTGTTATTCAGAGAAGAGGAAAGGGACAAATTTGAAGCATGGTGATGTGATGAAACTCTTAAGTAAAGAATTCGCAGAAAAAAATAAAATTTGCGATCAATCATGTCAATAATTTTGGAAAACCTTGTTTATGAATCCATCCAAAAGGATAATAAAATAAATTGATTAGTGATTACAATTGACTTTGTATTTAGTTTTAGGAATCATTTCTTCCCATATGAATTTTTTTTCAATGCATAGCTATATCTAAAACTTCGTTCATGGTGCCATCCATATATCAAATATGCACTGGGGAGGGGTGAGTGGAATGTATTCTTTATGGTTGCAGAAAAGAGGGACGAGAAGGGTCTTAACATACTCTTACCTTATTGAGAAAAATGTATGCCATTCCACAGCTTTAGAAATTTCTTCACTGCCCTCCCCTCAACATCACACCAGTAAGGTAGCATGCTTTTTTGTTGTTATAAGCTGCTTTAGGCTCATGGCATGCATTCCTCTACTATTGCTAATCCATTTGGAAATTTTGAAAAAAATTGTAACCAATAACCACCTAGAATTTAGAGAAAAAAATCATGAGGGTAATCACTCTAAATATTTGGTTGCTATCTATCAAAAAATTTACACATGGTGAGGTTTTTCTCTGGTTGACTTTAATCTAATGATTTATAGTAGGGGCCATCCATTTATAACTCTTGCTACGCCAACGCCATGCAAATATATTTTTGTTAGTTTTCTCCTACTGTTGTGAGTTTTAAGGCCTTGAATGGCAGCAAATTGAAATTCAATCTTCCCACTAATCGGAGAAGAAAAAAAAAAGGGGGGGGGGGGGAGCATTAAAACTTATTAGATTTTCTGATGGAATGAAAGGATAGCTTGGAAAGCAATGCCGTAAGCATGTTAAAATTGTGACATGACAGACACAGATGTACGAATCATCGTGCACGAATGATTTGACTGTTGTGATATCTAGCTAGTGGAAACACAAAACTGTATGATGATAAATACAAAACACCTGATTTCTTTTAAGGGGAGACTCATGTGATTTAAAAAATTTCTACACATTTTAACTTGAATGATTTTTTAAATATATGCACCATTAACATAGTTATTCTATTGCATTATGAAATTTGATATAAACATTTACTTTTTTTTATTTGAGGGCATGACTGATAGAAAAATCACATTAATTTGCCATGGGGGGTCTATACTGAAAACTAGCCGTCAGATTATGTTCGAATTTTCTAATCTTCTCTGCATAATGTCATTATATTGTTCTTAAGAGGATTTTTAAAAAAATCTCTTATGTCGCCGTTCTCCCCCGATTTGAAAGGAAGAAAATTATAAACTTTTTAATTGCAAAAAGGTTTCTTGAATCTATTTATATGAAGAATACAATTATAAATATAAAACGACAAAACTGCCAAATCCCCTGAAAAATCTGAAATCCCCCCCAAACCGGGAAAATTTCTGAAATGATCACTGCTACGAAATGAATTCGATAAAGTAAAGTAAATTATTAAAATCCTCATTATGGAACAAAAAGATTTCTTTAAAAATAATGCACTTCAAATTTTGTAGAGGTGTTTCATTTTTATACAATGAAATAAAAATAGGTGCTTTTTTTAAATAGAGAGAATTTAGACTGTTTTTTTGGTTAAGAATATGTTCATATGATGGGAAAATTCTCAAAGGTAGGTAGTTGCAAAGGCCAACAACATTTTGATTGCCTTCTCGTATGCGATTCTGAAAACCTTTGCACCTCTTTACGTTTTAAGCATAAGCCTCACTAGGACTATGAATGCAAAGGTGTAGCCCTGCCCGGGACATCATCACAGTGGGTAGATACCCTCACAGGGGAGTTGACACCAAATGAAAACTAGTAAATTTGACAGAGCTCAATCAAGTCGTAATAAGGCAGCAATCAGGTTGGCAAAAAAGAAAATGAGTAAAACAAAGTATGGGCAAACAAAAAAAGGAGTACAACAAACGTGTCGGCAGAAAGCCTTCGTCACCGAACAAACAACAGAAAAATCAGAATTAATGTTTAAAAAGCACTTAGCTGAAAAGTAGTATCCTGGAGGGCAGCAACAGAATTATTATTTTTTTAATTTGTTTTCATAAGTATGGAATTTTAAGTACTGGTACTAAAATTTCTATTTTGCAAACAAAATTTTATTATAATTATTTTTATTTTAAGCGAAAAATTAGGAGGTACTTTGTCGATGTGGTTTAAAAAATGTCACCCAGAGAAGAATCCTGGATATAAATCCTATTGTATTTTATATTCCACGTGGTTGTCATTATATTTTGTTGATGAAAGTGGCGTAGCCAGAAATAGTGTTGCCCGGGGAGAGTCAAGTTTTGACACCCCACTTTCACAAAAAAAATTGTTGAACCTCTGAATAAAAAGAAAAAAGATCCGCCCGGGGGGGACACACTAACCACAGCCCCTTTCTATGCCACTGGATTGGCGATAATACTAAATCCACTGTTGCTGCGACATCATTATTTAGATTAATTCAGACGATTTATGTCTTTTCTTTACAAAAAACATTTTCTAAAACAAACTGTAAAAAAATCATAATTTTTTATGCTCTGGGAATCAAGAATTGACAGTACCGGTACTGTACCTAGTACTAGTATCAGCGTGGCGAGATTTATAAAGCAGTTTTTGCCACTTCAGAAACAACAATAAATGATCCTGTAGTGTTTAGTATGACATGAAGCAATGCCACTCGTCAGTTCATTGAAGGATTTCACTCGCATTCATTTTCATATGATGCGACCAGTAAAGGATTAACAAATATTATCTCGCAAGGAATTTATAGATTTACAAAATGTGCTAACAAATTTGAATATTGGTATCTCAGGCATGGATGAATTCAAATTGTGTAAAGAAATACTCTCTTATTACTCATACTGTCATGCAAGAAACCACGATTGAAGACTTGTACATTTATTGATGAATGATTTTAACCTTTAAATAAATATATATTTATAAGTTAGGTCATTAAATAATTATATTTACACTAAAACTGTGAAAGTTAATTATTGTTCTTTACAACCCTGTTATAAAAATCAGAGATCTTCTTGGATGTTCATCATAAGCAATATTTAATAAAAAGCCAAATATGCACATAGTAATGTATATCACCTAGCTTCCTTTGGTTTGGTGCAAGAGGATTAGTTATTTTAACCTTAGAAACTACCTGTATAACAAATGTTGTTTTTTTTAGATTAAGATTGTGCTAGGGTTCTTGACTTGTACATTGAAACTATTTCATGATGCCAAAGAGTGGATACTTTAATAAACATGCTTTTCCAAAATTTACCTACCCTACTAAAAAGTATATAATAAATGGATCACACACACACACCCCCCCCCCCCCCAACACACACATTTGTGCTAGTGACTAACAACCCTTACGTTTTTGGGGACATTTATTTTATTTTTTTTTTTTAAATTTTGGGAAAAGCAAAAAGTATATAATAAATGGATCACACACACACACACCCCCCCCCCAACACACACATTTGTGCTAGTGACTAACAACCCTTACGTTTTTGGGGACATTTATTTTATTTTTTTTTTTTAAATTTTGGGAAAAGCAGTTTGTTTTAAAATTTATTTTTTATAATTTTATATTGATTTCTTGTGTACTTTTTAGTCTTGGAAGATGTAATAGGAGATCAGGAAGTGGTTTGAAATATATGACTAAAAAAATAAAAAAAGCATGGAGAACCCACGAAATACAAAAATGTGAAAGATGGGTGGTGACCTTTCTGTGGTAAAAGTAAAAACTTTCTTGTCATTGTTAATTGTTGTCGGGAACAGAAAAATTAGCAATGCATAAGGAAACAGTGTAAGGAAACCTGATGTCCCCATCATTTTCTGTTCCGGTCACCAGTGACCTACTGATTAAGAAGAGTTGTATTGTCATAGGGATGAGTAAGTGTACAAAGTTTCAGCTCAGTTGGAGATCTGATCATGAACTGGATCAAAATTGAGTTGTGAGATTTTACCTTGACCAAGACAAATAAAATCAAAAGCTAAATAAAACAGTGTAATTATAAAGTCAAGATAGTGCTTGTATAGAAATTGATTTATTTCACTTAAGTTTCTGAAATAAGTTTGAATTTGCCATGCAGTGGAGTGGGTATAATATTGAAGAATTTTTTTTGTATAATTGCACCCTTTTGGACTGGTAAGTATAATGGGCTATCTGGATAAGGATTTAGACTTTCTGTTGAAATAACCACAATGCCATCATAAGCAGCTTTTAAAGTCCAGTTTCCCTCCATCCAGACATTTTCACCGGGATAAAAACGTATTCCATATTGAGTGGCGAGCACTTGGTCTTGATGCACAAAGGTACCATCATGAGCCTTTATTCCTCTGTGTTTTCTTATTGTTCTTCCTATTTTGTTGCGGACAGTACCACCTGCCTTTTTAGAAGCCAATCTTGATGGTTGAGAGTCTAAATAAGGTAGAGCTCGTTGCAAAGAATTCATGGTGTTCAAAGCCGAAGAAAGCTGCTTCCAAGCTGGTAGCAAAATCTTACTCATTTTCTTTTATATGTGGTAACTGCAAAACAAAATCAAAAGTATGATCCTTTGGTTAAGTCCAAAATAATACTAATATGATGATTTAAAAAAAAAACATTAGACCACTGTTTCCCCACCCATAAGGCTGCCGAGGGATTTCCGTGGGGTAGCTGACTGAAACACTAAAACTAAAATAAAATAATGTTTTTTTTAAATTTGTGTCTTATTGAAGTTTAAATAAATTCATAGTACTGCATCTATTTTCCATTTGTACTCTCATTAGGGGTCATCCACAAAGACATCACAACATATGCCAAACCCCCCCCCCCCACCGTAACATAGGGTCCCTGGGAAAAAATCTATATTCAGCAATGGCGCTGAGAAAAGAAAATTTTTTGGAATAACCGGCATAGCAGAGAAAAATATAATTAATTATGAAATATGCATAGTAACATCCAAAGGCAATATCACATAAAAAGCAACAGCATGACAAACATAAAATTGCTCAATACTCAATATTGTTATAACATCATATAAAATAAATCTACATTAAAAACTGTTGACCCCCCCTTCCCCCAACACCTTTCAGCAAAATCGACAAGATCAACAAGACTTGCCAACATTTTTTAGCATGGTATTCTCGGCAATGCTGACTGAAGCTTTTCTTGACAATAATGACGGCATTCCTATAAGATACAGGACCACGTGGAGGGCTATTTAATCTTAGAAGACTGCAAGCCATTACGAAAGTTAAAGATCTTTCTCCAGCCTTCTCCAGGAAAGCATTACAAAGAACCTAAAATATCAGTGAATGGATAGAATCTCTCAGCAGTGGAAAAATTCAAATATTTGGGCAGCACAATCTCGAGGTCAGTAACAATCGATGATGAGATCAACAACTGAATTTCCAAAGCAAATGTTGCATTTGAAAGGCTCAGCAAGAGTGATTGGGAGCAAAGAGATCTTGTCACTAAGCTGAAAATATACAAGGTAATCATATTAACATCTCTCCTATAAGCTAGCAACAGGGCCGGCCTTTACTTTTAGGGTGTGCGACCGGTGCCCTTGCACAGGGCGCCGTGGCCAAAGGAGCGCCTGGAGCAAATATTTAAATTCCATAAGTTTATTATAGTGAAGTGTGAACCTCGGGTCCAGGGTCGAGAAACGATATTCTAACTTTTTGTACACTGCGTTTGCTTAGGGCGCCATCAACAATCTCCAAAATAGGAAACAGCATTGCATGGAAGAAAAATAGAAAGTGCAATAAAAAAAGATATTCTGACACAAGTCAACAGTGTTTGATTTTTAAAAAAAAACAACATAGGTAATAAACTCATTACCGAATAACTAGTTTTTCCGTTAATGATTATACTAAAAAGGGGTACCAAGTTAAGCTTTCACAGGGCGCCAGCAACCGTCCGGCCGGCCCTGCTAGCAAGATGTGGACAGTGTAAAGCAGACATTTATTGTTCGTCTGTCGAAGATCGACGATGACCATCGAGTCATCCAGTGACTGATGACTTGCGCGGGTGACTTTTGTTTAAAATGAGGAAGAGTTCAGCAGCGTCAACCTCACTCTCTCGTCCGGGCCCACCATATCCAGTGGCAAGACTCTACGTCAAGACGACCAGGGATGGGTATGGTTGCAGGAATTGTCTTTGTATGCACCTTACGGGACTCCAACTCCGGGTTTGAATTCTTCTCTTAGATGAGTTGCCACCAAGGTTAACTAGTCTCATCCATGTGATTTTTTTTGATTGACTGGCCTTTTGCTGGGATTGCACTCCAGACCACCAACTTGAGGTTTGCTCAGTTTTGACCATTCGGCCATCCAGTCACCCACATAGCAGACATACTGGACAGCTAAACCATCTACACCAAGTAAACTTCTTGGCATAAGTTGGCAGGACAAAGAACCTGACAAAGGTCTACAATGGGCTGACTTTATCAGCATCCACACACTCCTACAAAAAAGACAAGCCAAATGGCCAGGACATGTTGCAAGAATCCCAGAAAGCAGACTTCTTAACAACTAATACTCTGTGAACTCTCCGAAGGGAAATGCTCAGATGGTGAGCAGAAAGATGCTGAAGAACTGTCTAAATGCTTCACTCTAATCCATGGACATTAACCTTGATTCGAGGGAAAAACTTGCTGTGGATTGTACAAGCTGGCATAGCAGACTCACTGAGAGTTCCTAGTGTGGATGAACACAGAAAAAAAGTCTTACAAAGTGCGCTCTTTTGAAGCGATAGCGCCAAAATTATGGAACAGTTTGCCTCAATCTTTGAGGGGAATTGAAAATGATAAAAAATCATTTAAGAAACATTTAAAAAATTTTTGTTTAAAGAGATTTAGGAAAATTAGAGCGCAGTGAGCATGCTAACATGGCATGGATACCAGCGCGATATAAATATCAAAATCAATCAATAAATCAATCCTCAGATAATAAGCTGACTTTTTGAGCTATTACTTCAAAATATATAATTTTTTTGTTATTGCCTGTGTTTTTTTTCACCCTATGTGGTGTGGAGCCTGAAATGCATCCCTTACCTTCTTTTTTTTTTGTTATTGACATCACCAATTAAGTTGGTGACATTTACTACCACTCCCTTCCCCCACCGCCCTTGGGAAAGTTTGGTCACAGTTACAATTTCCAGAAGGTCTAGGTAGAGGAAGAAAATACTCTTTGACAATTAAATTTGTAGACTTCCTGTTCTGGAGGATTCTGACTCTCTCACTATAAATAAGATGGTAAACTGTGACCAGCAGATTAGCAATATTTTTTTAACAACTTTTTCCTGTGTGTGTGTGTGGATCAATATTTTTTACATTTCTAGCATACTACTTTTTCACTTGCTGTGCTTTAAGTTAACATAGTTTTTATTTCTGTATACCCGGTATTTGATTTAATAGTATGATTAAATTGATTATTGTTAATATTAATATCACTAGCTATGGTATTGTTTTTCTTTGAATACTGTTTTTCAGCCTTTTGTTACGTATTGTTTATCGAACTAGCCAAATCTTAAAACAGATTAAATTTGTAAAACAAGATAACAGTACGTAACAGTTTACTACGACATTAACCCCTCGATTTTAAAAGAAGAAAATAATAGAATATCATAGACTACTTAAATTCAAAATCTATCAAATCTATAAATATGGAGAATGCATATATAAACATAAGTAAAACATAAATGAGTAAACCCCTCATTATGGAACAAAAAGCATTTCTTTGAAAACTGTTCACTTTACATTTTGTAAAAATGTTTCATTTTGATAGGATGACTTCAAAGTTGGGGCTTTTTTTTTATACCAGAGTATTTGGATACTGTCTTTGAGGGTAATCAATTAATTTCTATGCTTTGTTTTTATGTTCATTATTAAGTCGTTAGGCCTTAAATTAAGGTATGTCGACACTGCTGATTTGTTGAATCCACTAATATCTCAGTGGTGAATCCAAGTTAAGAGTCCACTGCACTGACACAGATATCCCACTTAATTGTTCACAAAGAGCATGTAACTCTTTAAATAAATAACGTCCGCTTTTTTCCTTTAAATATGATTTAAACAATAACCACTTGACTTATGACTTATGATGACCTATGTAATGAATTTCTTTTTTTTTTAATATGTAGCTGCAACCATTTTTTTTAAACAAGATACTGTTCATCTACCAAATCTTTTAATAATTTTATGGTTTGGAGGTCACCACAACATGAGGATCTGTATTTAAGGGTCGCATCATTTGGAGGATTGAGAACCACTGGTGTGGTATATCAACTAATTATAAAAAGTTTTGGACTGCGATAATGATAAAGCTTTAAAATAGATTAAATAGACACAAACAATTTGTGTCAATATTACAATATAAGGTAAGTTTTAATAATAATTTTACAGAATACAAAAGTATACGTTTCGGCAAATGCCTTCATCAGTACAACAATAACAAAAAGACAAATAAGTCAAGCATAATAAAAATAAATTAAATTTACATAGACATAATTCATAATATATATATATATATACTATATACAGATCCTACCTAAAAAGGGGAGGAAAAAATAGGAGTGGGCGAAAAAAAAATGCATATAATCAATTTTATAAATTTGATAACATATTTTTAAGTGATCCATGCCCATGGCCCTAATGATAATGCCCTAAAGCCTAAAACTTAAGTACTTTTTTAGTAAAATCATTCTTTGTCTTAGTAAAATCTTAGTCATTCTACTTTCTACTTTGACCACTTATTAATGTTAACTACTTAAATCTCAATAATCCCATGTTTTAAAAATGCCTACCCAAATATAGTTGAAGAATCTCCTATAATACTGAGTTTTGAAGAAAAAAAATAATCAGACACTCTGACTCTGAGAATGTCAAGAAGAGGGTAAAATTTTTATTTACCGTCTGGGCCGGTTCATCCCGTAAACGTGGTGGTACCGGAACTTAACTTTACTACGCATCCGACTTTCATTGTTATTAATGTGTCTTAGTGCATAATTTTTTAAAGTATCCGTTTGGATAGACAATTTAAATATTTTTCACGAATTAAAGAGCTCTTCAAAAAAACGTGTTGACAAATAAAAGAAAACATTAGACATGCAGCATAGTAGGCTCATACTCATATAGTTTGTAGTGTCCAGCATATTTTTTGGTACAAAACTGATTATTATTGAGGTAGGCAGGTAGGGCTAGATTTTGATTTAGTTTAGGCAATTTAATTGATGTTCGGGTTTAAGTTTATGGATACATTTTAGGGTTCAGGTTAGGTTTAGTGGTAAATGTAGACAATTATTGGCAATTGGTGCCTTGAGTGAGGCATGAGGTATCACACGGCTGCCATCTATTTTGCCATGACCCGTGAACTTTTATAATTCACTGTCACTGGTCACTAACAACAGTGAAGCCTAACCTGCAACCCTCAGCCTAAATGTATCCCTAGACTACCTAACCTGAAATGTAACACTAAACCTAACCTGATGCCGATGCAATTCTCTGCATTAGCCGGCTTAGTGACAGTGAATTATTTGCGTGTGTATCGACTGAATTACGCGAAGAAAAAGCCGACTGCAGGTCGTTGACGCTTCTTGTCAAATACCTAGTTACTAGTTGGATACAATAAAGTAGCTGCGTTCACAAGTGACAATGAATCATGAAATTTATGGGCTAAATCTGAGGACGAATACCACGGCATCTTTTGGGTGTTTATTATAGTTGCAGTGAATTAGTTACGTTGAGGGATCGATTTAGGGTTCAGGTTAGGCATAGGGATCGATTTAGGGTTCAGGTTAGGCATAAGGATTGATTTAGGGATACATTCGTGTCAACAAGATGGCGGCCATCGATAAAATAGTGCTATTCGTCCTCGTAATTTACCAATTTATGTACCCTAAGTTAGTCCTAAGACATTTTTTCATTGAATTTTAAACTTTTATTCCTAATTTTACCAAGCGTGACATGAGTTATTTTATTTTTACATGTATACCATCTTGGTTGCAGTGAACCCATAAAAGTTCACGGTTCACTGCAACCAAGACGCCGGCCATGTGATACTCACGGCGACATCTCTTTGCATTTACCTTGGCTCTATTTTTTTTTTTTGCTGGCATCCGTCCGTCATAATGTGGCTCTATTAAGTAAAGTCTATTCAAAGTCTATTGACATTGGTATTTAAATGTGCTGTTTTAGCTACAGTACTAACAATACCGTACAAAAATTAGAAATGAAATATTAAAATTTAATTAAATAATTTATTGAGAGATTCTTTAACTTCAATCCCTAAATCTACTATTCTACCTAGCCTAAATGCTAAGTCAGTACCCCTAACGTAAATTTATTCCCTCCAGCTTCAGTATAAATTTACCCCTAAATTTAGTCCCCCCTAACATAAGTGTAAATTTAACCATAAATTTAGTCTTAAGACTTAAGTGTAAATCTTCAAACCTAAAATCTATGGCCTAATGTGAACCATAAAACCATGTGCTCGTGTGCTACAGTTACGTACTATACTGAGAAAGTGGTAAATTTGAATAAAAAATTAAAACCTAACTTACAGTTTAATCAAACACACATTTACACAATTTATTGCAGGCTCTACCAAAAATAAAATCCAAAAGTTGTCTGAAAAATCAATAGCCATTCGAAATTGGCGGAAAAATTTAGCCTCATTTTATATATAATAATTAACTGCTGGTAAAAGAAAAGTTAACTTTATTAGTAAAAAGCCAAGAATAAACAAAGGGGAGAGAATCCTACACAAAAACTCAAAGTGACCCATCGATTATAAATTAGCCCAGGTGTTGACACATAATGTTTGATTTGTTTTCGCTTTAAAAAAATTGATAGTGATTCCTTGATGATGTGCCACATCATGTGAAAGTAAAATCTTTTGCATGTTTTAAAATTAATATATTTACTTACAATATGGGGGGGGGGGGGAACCAATCCATATATTATTATTAATACACTAAAACAAAGTAATACTTTCATACCCCCTTCAGTCTGTTTCACCTGTACGTTTTTGAAACCCCATCCCCCAATTCATATTTAGAAATAACCTTCTCACCTCCTCCAAAAATCAATTTATATATTGCTATTATGATGTACCGGTACAAGACATTTTAACCAATGCATCATAGCCAGTGTTAAAAAAATTATGTCACAGGTTTAAGCCTTTTAAATTATAAATCATGAATTTAAGTGATTTTTTTTTGTTAGATTTGTCTATATTAGAGAAATAAATATATTTTTGAACTCTCATAATTTTAGGATACATTTTTTTACTCATACTGAAGTCCATTCTTTCATAAGCTGACCCCCACTTGTTCTGGTCAGGAAAAACAAAAAAAAGTGTATAACCAGCTCACAACCTGACCCCATAAAATAATATGCTAGTCTTAAGCAGTATGGTACCAATCAAAGATCATTGAGCAGGAGATATAAAGATTGTTATAATCAGCTTTTATTATCTATCATTATGTTCGGCAAAAGGTTTGACCATTTATTTCCGCTCTCTTATTTTAAAATTATGTTTAAAGCTTCTGGTAACATATTTCAATCTTGTAGAGCAGGGGTCGGGAACCTATGGCTCGCGAGCCAGATGTGGCTCTATTGATGGCTGCATCTGGCTCGCAGACAAATGTTCGATTATAAAAAAAAAAAGTCACATTAATGGTAAGAAATACTCATTATTGATTAGCAACAGCATAACAATGTTATTAAAAAGAATTTAGAGACATACTTATTGCATTTTTAGTGTTGAAATTACACAAAATGCACACATTTACTTGAATTTTTAGTTTTAAACATAATGATAATGTATGGCTCTCACAGAATTACTTTTCAAAATATGTGGTGTCCATGGCTCTCTCAAAAAAAAGGTTCCCGACCGAGTGTATCTGTGTGCAAGATTTAAAAAATGAGAAACTTCCCCTTAGTGCATATATAATATATGGATTGGCCCAAGCCAATAATTTTTGCTGGTGACAAACTTTTTTCCCCTTAGCTTAATGCAAAATATATAAATTTGACTTTTGCATTGAACAGATTCAATATGTTTGATTTTGAACTTGACACTAAGTGGGATGTTGACAAGTCAGCAGAGTCCCTGAACACTTCATTATTTGGAAAAATTAAGGTAAATCTTCTGATACCGGGTAGATGTCAAAGTTCAATTAAAATAAGTGACCGGCCTTAATGGTTTAATTATTAGTTTTAAAATAAAGAAAATGTATTCAGAAAAACTGTTATCAGCTCCATTGTAATATAGATTAATATTTTATTAAAATACACATCTAACTTTGTAAACAAAATGTAATATCTAAGTTTGCTAAGTCAAATATAACAATTTGGAAAACATTTTTCAGAAAAAAAAGACTCAGACTTTAAAAATTGCTGAATCAACATTTACAACTAATGCTGAATCAACATTTACAACTAATGCTGAATCAACATTTACAAAGCATGCTGATAGTGATGATGAACATTTTTCCAAGAAAGGCAGAAAAAAGCTTAAGGAAATGAGAAGGAAAAAAAATAAAAAGGAAAGAGTAACTGATAAATCCAATGCAGACAGTGAGAATCATCACAGTTCACCAGTAAAGAAACTCAGGAAAGAGGCACAGCGTGAAGAGAAAGTTAATATTGAAATGGATAATAATAATAATAAACAAAGGGCAGACGCAAAAGCTCATAGTATTCATAAGGTTAAAGTAATAAAAATGAATAAAAAAATTGAGATGAGCAGCCTACTGGGAAAGAGTGGTAGGAAGCGAAAACTCTCAACTTCAGAAGATAGGGTCACTTTAGGTGGTAATAAAGCAAAAAAGTTTAAAAGTGATAAAAATGTAGCTAAATCTGAACTGGGGACCAAAACAAATGGAGACAGTATAGTTGGTAGCAAAGTAAAACATGAAAAAAGTGGGTCTCAGTTTGATGTCAACAGCGCTCCTGAAGGGGCTACAAAGCCAAAGAGAAAAAGGAAAAAGAAAAATACCAGCCTAAAGAATAAAGAAAAGCAGCTTGCTCTGAAATCCAAAATCAAACCATCCTTAGCTGTCATCCCAAAGAATAGTGAATTGAATAAACCCTGTGATCTTGATAGTGCAAAGGAACGTGACCAAAATAAGATTAATGAAACAAGTATAACAAGCAATGCTTCACAAAGGCAGGAAATTTTAACAAAGGAATCATTTAAGAAAGGCAAACTTGTTGCTTCTGGCAATCAAAAGAGTGATAGGTCTTTAAACGGTGTGCTAAAAAAATATGACATTGAATCCAATAACAAAGCTGTAATGAAGAAATCAAAAGCTGAAATTCATGAACTTCATTCAACTAAACAACTGTTAAAGAAGAAAAACAAAGAAAAGAAGTCAAAGAGTAAGAAGGAAAGGGGGAGCTCAAACCTGTCTTTAAGTGATCAACAAACGAATTACCCAAAGTCAACAAAATTAGAACCTCAAAAGTTGAAACAAAGTGAAGAAATGAGCAATGCAATTAAGAATACTGGAGTAGACATTATTTCTAAGAAAGACGAACGAAAGATTAAATTATCATCAACTGTTCCTTTTGATCAGTCTGACCGGAAAAATAGAAACCAGAATAATAAAGACGTTGAATCCAAATTGAAAAAAAATGATCAGCCTCAAGTTTCTTCATTGTGGGGTAAAGCAGCAGTTCTGGCACAGCAAGCCAAGGATAAGCTGAAATCTGCTCGCTTTCGATTCATCAATGAGCAGCTGTACACCTGTACTGGGTCGGAGGCCATGAAGATGTTTCGAAGTGACCGTACGGCTTTTAATGTGTATCATGAAGGTTATGAGAAGCAAGTGAGCAAATGGCCTGTCAACCCGGTGGACACGATCATTCGGCAGATCAAAGATAAGTAAGAAATCTTCACCTTTGACCCATATTTGTCATAGTTTAACTGTTTTAGTACCCTATCTTGCATAAGATTTACAGATATATTTTCTAATTTTAAGCAATTTCTTTGTGCTTAATAATAACCAGATATCCCTCCAACATGCCAGTCAATTAAGTTTCTGAACTCATTTACATTTTTTAGTTATTTCTTGCGTTGTCCCTACTCTAAAAAAGGCTGTTAGCAGAAACATTCTCGTTTATTTTCCAGTCTTTTCATTTCAAGCTTTAACATGTCTGGTACTTTGTTCAACTATTTCCTTAATAATGAATATTGAAATTATGTGTAGGGCAGTTTTTTTTTTACAACAAACATTTGACCATCTTAATAAGCAGAATTTAATAAGCTGTGTAAAGCATCCATCATATTAATAATGCTTACATACAGGCCTCGTAACTTGGTGGTGGCAGACTTTGGTTGTGGTGATGCCAAAATAGCACTGAGCATTCCACAGAAGGTGCACTCATTTGATTTGGTTGCTACAAACAGCAGAGTCACTGCATGTGATATGTCTAAGGTAAGAGCTGAAAGTGCCCCTCTTATCAATAATAATGGCATGAATTATTATTATTTTTTTTAAAGTATCATTTTAAAAATATATCAATTGAAGTAGTCCATTTTGTAAGACTATACTTTATGGTCAAATTGTACATCAATAATACCGGGACTTAATAATACATCCCTTCACTTACCTGTGTATTCATAATAATAGATTAAATAAAACACCTACTCACTCATCTATGTATTAGCTACTGATGCAAGTTGTTTATTATAATACAAAAATAATAAAGTGACAATAAATAGAAGCTATATGTATTTTATATTTAGCACATTTTGAAGAATAATAGTCTGACCATTTGTCCTATTGGGAAGTTACAATTTTTACTCATAAGATCTCTGCTCCTATCCGTCTAAAACCTTTAACTAGCCGATTATTTGATCTTATGGCTAATAATAATATCTTGTTACAGTTTTTTAAAATTCTCTTTTAACAACATTTTTATAAGAAATTGTGTGAAATATATTTACTCTTTACATCATCACCAGACCCCACTGCCCAATGAGAGTGTGGACATTTCTGTATTTTGTCTCTCTTTAATGGGAACCAACATAAGTGATTATATTCATGAGGCCAACCGTGTCCTGAAAATTGGGTAAGATATGTATTATGGAACTAAACGACCTATAGGGAATAAAAGTACTTAAAATACATGTTTTCTTTTGATTATTCATTTCTGAATAACACAATGACCTACTGTTTCAAAAATTTTTTAATTTTATCAAAGAATAATACAACGCGGATCTCTGCCTGTTCTTAATAGTGTACATTTTTTAATACATTTCAGAGGCCTGTTAAAAATTGCAGAAGTTGTCAGCAGATTTAGTGGTTTGAGTGAGTTCATTGGTGGGGTCAGTAAACATGGCTTCTTGCTCCTGAACAAGGTGAGGACATCTTTTATGTTGGGTGATGCCGTAACATTACATTCACAGTATCCTGTCTTGATAATGGCTAGTAACACTTTGCTGGAAACTGTCAATGGCATGATACATGCCAGGAATACTGTGCATGAAATTATTCACTAGTTAATGATGCACTGATTATTTGATGCTTGTAAAGTACTGTGCTGGAGTGTTAAACAGAAAATTTAAATAATTCAATTTTCCTGTTGTTTTTTTGCACATACACATTTATCACTACCAGTATATACTTCAGCTAAATAAGGAAATTATTGTTGGTAAATGTGAACAAGTCTGGCTATAGCATCATGTGTTGCCATAAGATAGTTTCAGTTGATGTACTGGTTGTGTCTTTAATTAGTTGTGTCTTTGATTGCTGGCAGTGTCTGATTACTTGTTGTGTTGTTGATTACTTTTTGTCTTTAAATACTTGTGTATTTGATTACTTAACTTGATGTGTCTACTTGTGTCTTTGATTACTTGATGTGCCTTTGAAAAATGACTTATTCTATTGAATGACTTCCACAGAGGGACTTGAACCAAATGTTTTATATGATAGATTTCAAGAAAGTCAAGTCTGTGAAGAAAACATCAGCTGGAACCATTAAGCTTAAACCTTGTGTGTATAAAAGGAGATAATTGTCTTATGTTGTCTTTGAATTATTAAACTTTGTGTTTGTCAGGGGAGATAATTATCTTATTTTTGCCTTTAGAAGGTTAAACCTTGTGTAAATAAGGGGAGATAATTATCCAATGTTGTCTTTGGGGCTAAAACCTTGTGTGAATAATAATTATTATATGTTGTCTTTGGAAGAAGCATTACATTATCATGAAAGAAATTTTAAGTCTCTTGTTTGTTGAATTATTCTTGTCCTAAAGTTAGTCCAAAGTATGCATGGCAATGAGGACCATAGGTCATCAGATCAGAACGCAGAGGCTTTCTGATTGGATTTTAAACCTTTGGGAAGGATTAGAGGAAGGCTCCCAGTCTGCATTGAAAATGCATATATTGTTGATATTGTCTTTTCTGAGATCATCCAACCAAGAGATAACAACATTGCTTACCCCATAAACCTGACTCCAAAGAAAATACCAACATGAGTCACTTATACTTATGAAAATGTCTTTAGACCAATTCCATCTGAATTGAAATGCCATACCAGCATAGAGCATAGATTCTTTTTGGCACGACAGTGCAAATTCCGAGGTGGCAGCAAACTATCTGATGGAAGTTTTGAAATGCTAAACACCTGGAGTTATTTCTCCTCATAAACTTAACTTGAAAGTTGGAGCAGTAGTGCAGTTGCTACTAAACTTTGCCTCAACTAGAATTTTAGATGACAGTTGGCTCTGTTAGAGACTGTCAGGGTAATTATTGTAGAGTTTATGCATAAATTTAGGTACATTCTGGTGACCCCCACCACTACACTGTCGTATGAATCTTCAGTGCGTATGTAATATATGGACTGCCCTTTACTTTGGCAGGGTGCGGGATGGGGTATGAAAGTATCTTGTTTTTTTGTATACATACGGATGTCCCATTGTCTAATCAGTTACATTGCATTCAAATTTGGCTACACTACATTTACATTACAGACGTGCACATTGCATGGATGATTTTAATGTTATTTTCAGTGTTCCTTTTTCAAGACTACATATTTTTTTAAATACATTCTCAACTGCTCCGCACAGTGGCGTTAGATTTTGACTCTAGTAAACAGCATTTTTAGGTATTCTTTTAAAAATTCACTAAGCAGCTGTACAATCGTAATACCCCACTTTTGTGCCATCACTTCTCTTCCCTTCTCCCAATACAGCTTGCCGTAGTTTTAGACCCCAATAACACAAAATAAATTCAGGCTTCGAAACTTAATGCAGAGGTGGGAAATCCACGGCCCGCCACTTTAACTTTAAATGTTATACCCCACCGGCTGTATCACAATTGAATTTATTTCTTCATTCAAATGATCAAATAGCGATTATTTTAATTTATGGCATAAAAGAAAATTATACCATATATATATGTATACATGACTTTTGTGGATGGTAGCTGTACAGGCTTTTGGTGTACCCGACCCCATTTTGAACTGATAGATTGAAATAAGTAACAAAAATATTTTAAAACTAGTAACTAATAAAATAAAAATAATAATTTTTTTTTAAAAGCAAAGTGTGGAATGATACAAAACTAGATTCAGGTATACGCAAATTGCAACCTTCGTTTTGAATTTATAAACAAAATTCTGGGCAGGGGGCTCAGGTTCCTCCCCAAACCCCACCCTTCTGTTGTTTGCAGTGACTTCGGCAGGTGTCCTCATTTTCCGATCCCCCACCACATCTTTGTCTATCAAAGTGGCATATTTTTGTTTACAATAATTTGAATAATGCTCTGAATATATAGGCCTATCTATAAACGTCAGTCATCTACTTAGAGAAGTGACAGGTGATATTCTGTTTCACAGCCTACGTGGCTCACAGGTATAATAGCTATTAAAATATGAATTAATTAGACATCCCTTTTAGCTAAAAAAAATTGTGTAACTGATTGAAAACATTAGTGCCCTTTATGATGGTAAATTAAGGAAAATACTTTAAAAAAAGGTGGTGGGGCTTGCGAATGCGTAGGAATAAGACCGTCATCACCAACAACAACATAGATATTGTCACATCATTAAAATTAAATATTTTAAAATCTAATTAATTAATTTTTAAGAATATTTCTTAAAATGATTTTAAACAGAATTTTATTATTAGGTTATCAGATAAGGTAGAAATACAAAAGTTATTTAATGCATTCAGAGACAAATGTTTTGACGAAACAAAGATTATAGCAGCAGAGAAACATTTAATTGGTTGCACCATTTTTTCAACCTACAAAAAGACTTCGTCGCAAGTAGTCGGCCAGACCTTTGGAACCACTTATCGCTCTAGCATTCAAAGTTATTCGTTTTAAAAAATCCAGGGGTTGCGGGAACCACTCAACATCTTTGCTTGCAAGAAAATGCATTTTGATATGAATTTTTTTTACAGTGAAGCCAATATCTGGATGTTTTTCCCGAATACAGAAATTTGTCTTCAAATTTCTCAGACAATGTCAGTCAGTGTTGCAACTGGAAAAATAATTGTTTCTAAAATTGAAGGAAACATATTTAAGATCTGCAAAGGCTCATATCTTTGGCTATGCTGTCTCACTTAGTAAATGATGTTACCATTCGATAGATTATGAAGATGTCATCAGTGGTTTAGCTACAGCAAAAGACAGAAAATGTGCTTGTGTCACAAATGGCCATGCTGGAGACGGGAAATGATGGGTGTGGGTGCCCCTCAAAAGTACAATAGACCAAGGAATTGTTAGCCTGACATCAGCAGAGTTTATGATAGTACAGGGGAGACTTGATAGATTGGAGAAATCGAGACTCCAGGGGGAATGGGTGTCACAAATGTTTTCGATTAACGAGTTTTTATAAGTGGAATGTTCACGAAGACCACGGGTAGAGTTCGATCAATTATCAGTAATAATAAAGGTCTCAACATGATAGATGCTAACAGTTGGTTAGGGACATGGGATAGACGACCGGGAGTAAATGATCCGGTCGGGGATTGTTTTCTTTCACCTAGCAATTCAACAGTGGGATTCTACTCGTGGGTAGTTTGGCGAGGTCTAGATATAAGCTAAAGGTTTGGAGACTCTCGGGGAGTAGAGGGATAGCAGTTGAAAGGGAACGGCAGAGAGAGATCAGGAGACAACAGCTGACTAGTTGTAGAGTAGTTGAGACGAAACAGTGAACAGTCATAGCTTTAGAGATTCATATAGATAGCTGACAGCTAGCGAAGACTATAGAAGAGCTTTTTATTGAGTAATAAATATATTCTCGTTTATCATCTACACACCTGGAGTTTGTGTTATTTGAATTCATCAAGTCTACATTGTGCTTTTGTCTGTCACCACGCCTGGATACCCACAATATAAATCACAGAGAGGAGCGGTCCTGTACTGACCACTACTACATCAATACAGTTTGTGATAAGTCAGGACCGGAGCCCTCCTCCGTAACAAGCGTTCTGTGACAGCTTGTACGGTACAATGTTATAGTGTGCTAATTTTTTATTTAAAAAATTGTATAGTTACGGGATGCTGAAAGTTGGAATGGTTTAGTGTTTTACCATTTCAATAAAAGCCATTTTGATGCTTAACAGATTAGCTTTTTATATCCGTTATACTAACTTCGCTTTTGTTCGTGTTCGGCTGGGTGGCAAAATAGATCCACTTCCTGCCAACCTAACTTGCTGAAACTTGGCACATAGACTCTTTGCCGATGACAATACATTCTTTCAAATTTCCTGCCTGACTCACAACCCCAAAAAATCAGTTTTTCAATGGGAATATGAAGGAAATGATGCCACTGATTTCACGGGAAAAAATCCTGATAACTGTCCTAAATGGGATTCTTTCTAAAAAAAATAGTGCATGTGCTGTATATTTTCCTCCACTTTTCAAAATTTCTTTTTAAAAATTAGAAACAAATCGCTTGTTACAAGTTGTTAGAAACATTTTCTAACTGATATAAATATTTAGGGACAGATTCAAAACTAGAATTAGTAACCTGTAAATAATGCAAAACTCATAAAGTGTTGAGGTTTTTTCTATTGGTGGTTTTATCCAACTTGTGGTTAACAAACATGTTCTAGCTAGTTACGGAAGTTTTACCATGTTTGAAGATACAGAAGAAAATATTAATATTCGTTGGAGTTTATTCATTATGTAACTCAATTGTGTGGGGCCTGTTCTTACCCCCTTCCAGCCATCTGAGTTGATTAAATTTGCCATCAATAAATACATATGCATACAATCCTCAAGAGGATGTTGGCCAGCTAGGTTTCAACAATAAACACATTACACTTACCCCAATGATCAACTCTGCACCACATAGTATTAATACATTTTTTATTACATGTATTATTGATGTATTTTATGCTTATTATTATTTTTTTTTTACATACAAAAAATGTATTAAGAGCAAGGGAAATTGTCTGAACACCAGGAGAGAAATGAAAGACAGAAAGTCTTGTAGATGCAGTAACACAAAGAAACTTGTGTTGAGAAACTTGGATTGGAATCTGATTGGTCAAGTGTTTAAAAAAAAAAAAAAACTTTATTTTAAGGAAAATTAAAGTTCAATGTCAATAAAAATCTACAAAACAAATTAGTTGATCAACTTTCATAAATTTCATAAGAAATTCATTTAAATTTAATGAGGAGAAGAATCCTGCTACATGAATGACTAAATGAAGTCGAGATTACCTTGCTAACTCTAGAGATGGCCACTCGTGTTTTAGGATAAACCTATTTTTTGACATGTCAGATTATGGGGATTTTAAGCCAAGATTTATGCAGGCTGAGAATGATGTAAGAAGTAACAAATATAATAATTATTTTACTTTTTTTATCTAACTACTAACTGTAAAGGTAATAGTTAAATGGAAGGGAAGAAACATTTAGTATTATAACTTATTATTAAGTCTAATATCTGGAACAAAACACAGCATATCTCAATAATAATAATTATCTTGTTATGCCCTGTCAATATATATGGCGTTCCTTATGAGGAACATGAAGATTAATATTGTATTAAATATGTGTTTAAAAAAATTTTAAAAACTGAAATAAAAGCACTTCGAAATTCTTAGATTAAGTTATAATCAAAATAACAGCACAACAGGAAAGTATTTTTACCTGTTTGTTTCTTTCTAAAAAGCCTAATTTTAAAAAATAGCAAAACGTTGCTGCTACCAAGTGCAAAGTACAAAAGTGATAATAATATAGGAAATTGGACAGCAATGGCACAGTGTAAATGTAAAGATGAGGGGGAGAAAGATTCTACAAAAAAATCTTCATTTAGTTTTTGACAAGACAAATCATTTTTACAGTCAAAAGCTAAATATTTGGGGCAGTACTTACATCTCTCTCTACCCATAGGAGGATGCTTATGT